CTTCAGGGTGACGGGGCCGTCTAGCGATGCGGTATCCGTGTAGGCAGCCATGATGCAACTCGGATCCCATGCTTCTACCATCTTAGTGTGCGCCTTGGCTTTACGTGTTAGCTGCTTGGTGTCCCCCTTGCGTGCACTAGGCTTGTTGTCGGTGATCTCCGCAAGGTCTTCCCATGGTGGAAGTTGCTCGGGTAGTTCTGGGAGGTTCTCCGTGGGTCTGTGGAGGAGCTTCATAATCTCTCTGCCTGGTCCAGTAAGTTTGAGGCGCTCACTGTGGGCAACCGTGCGGGCCGTCACTACGTCATGGAGTTTGTTGATACCGGCTTGTTCCCGCAGTTTGCCGAGGGGGGTAAACTTAGGAAGGCCGGTAATTACACGCATTGCTTGATTGTTTAAGGTTTCTTGTTTCTGCCACTGTCCCTTGTTGAGCCAGTAGTGGCGGGCTCCGTAGACTACGCGCGAGACTACGAGGGCTTTGACCATCCGTTTGGCAACGTTTTCAGTCGCGCCTCCTCTTGCGCTGCATGTACGCCTGATTGCGTTGAGCGCGGAGTTGCAGTACATATACGCCCGAATGTAGCACCGTAGCACTTTTCTTTGTGGTGTAGTGGCGGGGAGTCTTCCTGGTTCCGTTGCCGTCTCGGCCATAAATGCAAGGAAAAAGACGGACGCACACACTGCTTCGCGCCGGGATGCAAGTCGGGCATACCCGGTCAACAAGGGCAGCCACCAGCGATCGTAAGCTGTCGCTGTTTCGTGCGCCAAAGGAGGAGTCGAGCAGACTACAGTGGGAAAAACCCTTAATCGAGACGATAAACGCCTCGCCGAGACATCAGCGGTGTGCGAGAGACATTTTGAACCGCGCCTTATCCTTCGGGACTATGTGCACATCGTCCATGGCGAAGAGGTTCGGATTCTATGCCGCAATATATTATGACTATTTTGTAGTTTTTTTTTTGCGTACTATGTTGCTGAATATCTGTCATGTACTTGCTGTATATGTCGATGAAGTGCATTACCACTTTTGTGAATTCATGAAGCAGTAAGTTGAGAATAAATTTTTTTTTTTCATATTAGGGGTTGTTGAAGTTTGTGTTCATATCGTATTTTAATCCTTCATGTACTCCCAATCGAGGTATTTTTTCTTCATAGACTGCCTTCCACAAAAAACAATTTGTTGTGTTCGCCAGTTGCAGTTGCACCTTGACCGTTCCCAAACGCGGTCCGCCTTGCACCTTACACAATCTGCAACACGAACAAAAAACAATACACCAGTTTATTGTTCCTCTCACAATTAAAAAATTGAGAGATTTATTGAGATTTATTTGTCTATTTTTCCTTGTTATGTCAGTATCGCGTGGTTTCTTTCGCAGCTATTAAGCGTACTGCCCAAGTGATAGCGTTGCTGAACGACCCGTCAGTACTGGGAAGGGGGGGGGGGGGTCAATAATCAAATGATCTCCATCAAAAACACGCGAATAATAAAAGGAGAGGATAGCACACATTCTAGAGGTATTAGCGCAAAGGAAAACCTTAAATATTTCACATTAGCACTTGTTCTGCGTCGCGAAAAGCTCCAGTCGAACCAGAGTAGTACACACAGCTAGCAGCGCCGACGACGAAGCTGACAGGAGGGAGACAAGGCCATGTCCGCTGGGCTCTAGACATGAAGCACATGTGTCGCCGGTGCTTCGTTCTTCTTTATTCAAGCTTCTTGCCACAGTTCCTAGGGCATAGAACAGCAGCGCTACGGTGTGGTCTACGCGCAAAATCTTCACGCGGTGGCCGCCGCTCTTGCCACTAGAACCCTCTAGAACACTGTACTTCTACTGACATGAATGAAAACGGCACCATCAGCGCTACCTATGACCAAAATCAGTATCAAGAAAAAGAAAACAAAAAAAAGAGTAGGGGTTCTGAGTTGTCATCCCATCTGTCTTGTTAAAAAAAAAGAAAAAGAAGAAAACCACACATTCTTCTACTGACATGAATGAAAACGGCACCATCAGCACTACCTATGACCAAAATCAGTATCATCAGCACCACCCGAGCTTCGCCCCAATCAACATCATTCACCACGTGGAGATGCGGTAATTTTTAACTCCTTCTACCTCGTTCTCGGGTGAAGTAGCGAGGGCGCCTCCAGCGGGGGTTCAGGGAAGAATCTTGTTACCGCTCTGTGGCGGATTTAAACGTTGCCGCCTCATTTGAATTCAACGGTCATGTCATCGTCCGGTGCAAGATGTCTACAGCCCCTTCTGCCTTTCTATCGAATTTGCGGCACCCGCAATGATTGGAGATTCCGTCGCTACGATGGGCACTTCAGTTATACACTTTTCTGTGAGGGCTTGAACGTCGACGGCGAGAAGAAGCACGCGTTTTTGTGCATGAGCCACACTTCAGCAACGGTGGCACAGGATCGGTGCAAGGTAACGCTGCGTATTAATCGCGTGTCGTTTCTTGGCGTACCTCTGGAGACACTTGATATAAGCAGGTACGTTGGTCTGACATGCAATTATTTCTGTGTCGGGGGCTTGGATAGTCTTGACGGCTTCAGTGTCGCCATTCACGTAGCGGAGAAGGTACCGAAGGACGAGTTACTGCGCTCTGTCGCCGAAGGCCACAACAGCATCCATGACGTGGCCACCACGAAAATACTGGCGCATAACCTGATGATAAGCGGAAACTGCGAAGATGCCATCGTGGATTCCCTGACGGTGTCCCTCAACTGCCCTTTGAGTAAAACAAGACTCCAAGTTCCGTGCCGCGGCGTGGACTGTCGTCATGTCCAGTGCTTCGATGCTCTGGCGTGCTGAACGAGAGCACTCTTCGTCCCTTCTGGCGCTGTCCGGTGTGTGACCAGAGCGTAAAGGTGAAAGGGTTACGCATAGATCTGTTCACGCTGGAGATGCTGGACGCTTTGCCAGAGACATCTAGCCTGGTGAAAATATCTGCAGAAGTAAAATGGATTCCATTCGAACCCGCACTTAAGGTAGCAAGTACGGGTTCGCCGATGCTCGTCGACGGAAGATGCGTGATTGACTTAACGGGAGATACCTCATCTGACGAAGAAGCCTGATGTTATATGAAACATAAATCTGATAATTGTATGTTTGATTGGAATGAATAGAGTGGAAGTAGGCAACGTATGAAGTTATTTGTACACCACGTTATGGATCTGGTTCAGAGAGTTGGCTTATAGACGCTTTGCAGCAGCTGTGCATAGGCGCCGCCATAACTGACCTTCAGTTTTTGTTCCCCCATATTACGTTTACTTCACTTCATTATTACCATAGCAGGCCAGGTTATTGTCATCTTAGATTTTATTCTGTCTTGCTCCCCAGCATTGGTCTTTGCGAAGGCTCGTCCACACTAATTTCAGTGGCTCGGTATCTCGGTAAAACTAGAGAAGGTCAGCAATGGCGACTGTATTCTGGCGCGTGTGCAAAGCGTCTATAGGTCAGAATTTCGAATGCACGCACCCTGGTAATCGCCTGCAGGCCCCGACATGGGGCGAACTAAAACGTTTGACGGGGAAATTTTTGTCTGAGGATCTGAGTATCCACGTAAGAAATATTATAGATATTAACGCTAGGGTAGCCCAGCAGGTTCTTGATATTAGCACGCAAATTAGATTTCACTTCGGAGCAGTGTAATGTTCCAAGAAGATTGATTAACAGATGGCGAATATGTTGCTCAGGAAGTGAAATTTTGTTTTCGAATTCCTACGAGTATAATCATACCGTGCTTTCCATTGAGGCTACTGTCTCAGCCGGAGGATCCCAGAGGAAGGCTTAAAAATGGGGTTGATATCTAGAAAAAAAATAGTAATATTTATGAAAGAAAGAGCCACGCGTGGAATTTTGTCTTAGAACAATGTCTTTTTTTTTTTTTTTTTTCTACAGTAACCACATTTGGGTTTTAACCTGTAGGTGCAGTAAATAGCTCCGTTTTGCGAAAACAGCGTGGAATGATTTTTTTTGTCTATCGACTTTCATCTGATTTTCGGCTGATTTTTTGCTCCCCTGTTTTTCACATGGTGCGTTTCTGGTCGAGATTTTCTGTTTCGTGTTGCAAAAAACACGTGGGCTCTTTGCTCAAAATACCACTTATTTTTTGTCGCATGAGCGTCGTTGCAACCAAAAATCGCCAGCAGAATCTCACCGCGTGAAACGGGAGGAAGCACTACGGGAAAGCGCACTATACTCCGTTTCACCCTCAGTGAGAGCGCAGCGGACGCTAGGAGCCATTTCAGCCAATCCAGCATTGAGAGTGTGTCATGTGACCTTGAGGTCCCTGTGTCCCTCTGCCCAACCGGCAGGTCACGCGATTTTCTCCCGGCGCTGGATCGGCTGGGATGGCTCGTGGCGTCCACTGCGCTCGGACATAAGGTAGAACGTAATATAACAAAAAACTCAAAAACAAAAAGAAAGTTTTTAAATGTTTTGTCTATTTTAGGAACATGAACTGTTGTTTTGTGTCCAGAGTACACTGAGCTTTTAGAAGAACCCTCCAACAATTCTTAATATCTTCCGTCTTACCTTTTTTTTTTTCTTTTTTTTTTTTTTTTTTTTTTTTTAAAGACTGAATTTTGAACGAAATGGCTCAATTTACTTTGAGTGTGTTCTGAATTATAGTGCGAGCTTGCTTTTCTGATCTTGGTGAAACTGCAAGCTCAAAATCTCTTCTCATTTCGTGCTTTCTGAGGGAAATCGTAATCTGTTCTAGAGAATTATTATCTACCTAGTAATCTATAATGCAGTTCAACTGCAAATAATAATAATAATAATAATAATAATGATTTCAAGTGTTTTGTTTGGATACCCGGTCATAAAGTCGAGCACTGGTTAGCGTCTTTACTCACAGGCTGGGAGCATTTGTTACTGCCAGGAAAGACATTCAAACAGTAAAGTCTAATTCTACAGTTGTTATATATGTTGAGGGACTTGCGCAGGACACTTGCGTACACGTCTGACATCCCCTCTTGCTCTTCCTCGCAGGGCGGCCATGCCGGCGGTGGTGGCGTTGCTGGTGGTGGGGCTGCTGTCGCTGTCATCTGCACAGTACGCTGGCTACACGGACAACAGGATAGACAGCGGGCCCATTCACCACCAGCAGCCGTGAGTGACCGCAAACTCATGTGGATGTAAAAGGGAGATGGTGCCTGGTGTCCCCCCCCCCCCCCCTTTTTTTTTTTTTTTTTTTTGTTCAGGTTTAGTTATGTCAAGCAGAGCCAGTTGAATCTTTACGTGTAAGAGGGTGGTGAGTGGACGTTTTGCAAACGGGGGGGGGGGGGGGGGGGGGGGGGGGGTAAATAAATGTCTAGCTCTATGATGTGGATTCTTTTCCAGTCCAGATGTAGGTGACTATTTTCGTGACCTGTAAAAGTAAAAGAAAAAAAAATTGTAACTTACAAGGCTGTTTTCGAGACCGAGAGCTTTATTATTTAATTGTCACAGTCTTGCATATATACGCATTTAATTCTGGAATTGGCTAGAGTTGTACGAAAATACAGTTAGAGCGCGTGCTCAGCCAAGCTGCATGGTGGAAGTTAGTCGTTTATTACATGTATGATCTATGTTGGTTCTGTAGAAACATTGAATCCACTTCTGCTTCGGCCAGAATAGTGGCTTACAGTAATCTAAAAAAAGCAAAAAAGAAATTACTTGAGGCTAGTGTAAAAAAAAAAAGAAAAAAAAGAAAGAAATCGAAGTTAAGGGGAATGTCTTCTAGGGTGTTGACATAAGGATTGAGTAAAATAAATGCACTAGCTGAGTTTGAGATGTTCACGTTCCCGTGCCCCTTCCAGTCTGGGCTACTTTTACGTATGGCCCTTCGTTTTTTTTTGGTGAAACCCGACACTTCCTTATATTCACACCCCGAACACGTGTTTTGAAAATAGAGTTGAACCCGATCTTCCCCCGAATTCGGAACGAAAATTTTAACATTTTTTTCGTTTTTTTCGCGTTGTAGAAATGTGGAGCTCAATAATGAAACGTGTTGAAAGCGCGTATGACAGAGGCAATGCAAAAGATATTCGAGTGATACTTTCTGAGATAAAAAAAAAAAAAAAAAGAAAGAGTTTTCTCGAAGGCAATTCTGATAAGAGACTGCTACCCTAGACTACCAAATGCCGCTCGCTGACGTTGCTGTGTGTTGCAAACGGAAGCTTTTTGAGAAAACATTATCAGTTAAGATATGTCTGAAGACTGCACAGGTCTACTATCGGGACAGACACGATGCGCATGCAGATTGTGTATGTCAACAAAAATTTGCCAGATATTAAAATGACCACATTGATTACTGGTTTGTGTGAATAAAACATTCCATGTGTTAGCGCCCTCGCAAAAGAAGACGACTGACCCCAAGCTCGCGCCACCTCCCGCGTGGCGCACCGTTCTTTTTGCTGGGCAGGCGTACCCGCCAGACGTGATTAAACGCTCCCTTTTAAACCTTCACTGGTCCCCCTTTTCCCATGTCGAGGCTCTAACATCTCAGAAGTGGGATAGACCAAGCGTGATCCAGTGGCCACGACCGAGCGCAAGTCGACTTCTGTGACCACAAATCGTCACAGCAGCGGCACCGACCAGCACCTCGACATGGACGAGGAAGGGCTTCGGCGGAGCGAGCGGAACCGAATACGGCAGACTGCGGCGGCGGGCCCTCTCCGACTTCCAGCAACCGTTACGACTGGAACAGGGAGCACGAGCCTTGGCGGTAGCGACGACGCAACCACGAGCCAAGATGGCGTGGCAGGTCAAGATTCGGAACGCTCCGACACCGACACCGTGGGGCAACGAATACCGCTGGCAGGCCCAGCAAACGTTCCACCAACAATCCAGACTGGGTTGTATGGACCGACAGGTGATCTGTCTGGGCTTCAGACTATTGTACAAGAGGCTGTACAAGCTGCTGTGCGAGGAGCGGTTGCGGGCATGGCTGATCTGCTTCGTCCCGCAACCCAGCACACGCGCGACCCAAGACCACCTGCAGAGTCCGGTAAGCTGGTGCCAGTGTTCAACCCCGTCACGAATCCGGTGCAGACAGTTGAACATTGGATACGGAAAGTTGACGAACTATCGGCGATATACTCGTGGACCCAGATACAGACTGCGTGTTTTGCACTAACGAAGCTAGAAGGAATCGCCAAAACGTGGTACGACGGCCTCGTCAGCGTCCAGCGTTCGTGGCTTGAATGGAAGCTGGAGCTGAAAAAGGCTTTTCCACCCGTTGTAAACCTACAGCGCCGACATCAGGAAATGGAAGCGAGGCGAAAACTGCCGAACGAAGCCGTCGAACAGTATTTCCATGAGAAGCTCAGCCTGGCGCGTCTTTGTCAACTCCCGGAAGATCAGATTGTGGACTATGTTATTACAGGCATCAGTGACGGAGCGCTCGTTCGGAGCCTGAGCGTTGTCAAGTTTTCTATTCCGGAGGATCTGCTGGAGTGCCTCAAACGTTTGGACGACCGACTCACCGCCGTCGGGGAAGCGTCCCACCGATCCGATGCGGCAACCGGTTCAAGGGCAGGAAAGAACAGTTCACCCAGCGACCCAAATGCCCACAGACTCCCGAAACGAAAACCGCCATTCAACTCTAATGGTGAACCGCGATGTTTCAACTGTGACGAATACGGACATATGTATGTAAACTGCAGTAAACCCAATAAGCGAGAACACTGTAGCGAATGTCACCGAACAGGACATAAAACAGCTGACTGCAGATCAAGCGGCAGAGGAAGTGTGTCGGTAGAAAATCATCATATCGAAAACAAAGAAAAAGTAAATGCACAAAACGAGAAGTATTTTCAAGACGCTCTCGTAGACGGGAAGCTTGTCCGAGCTTATGTTGACCTTGGAAGTCAGTGCGTTACGCTGCGCAAGGTGGATGCCAATGATTTGGGAATCAACTATAACAAGCCTCCCCGAGGATGTAAGATTGGAGGCTATGGTTTTGGTCAGGTCCTACCGTGCGGAATCACGGAAGCAAGTGTCACCGTAGACCAGGCGACAGCCCGTGTTCCAATCTACGTTGTTCCAAATGAAGCGCAAGCGATTCCTCTTCTTGTTGGACAGCCGTTTACAGAGCAACCGCATGTTACCATCGTGCGAAGAAGGAACACGCTTCGCATTTTCGAGGAACAAGGCAGTTCTACTGATGATGATGAACGGCTCCGACAGATTCAAATCCCTGATCTTCCACCACGCTCCCTAGTGTCATGGGCCAAGGAGTCTGTCGTGATTCCACCGAACTACGTGGGGATCATTCATCCAACGATCAATGAGTCTGCGGCAGGACACGTCTTTGTTGAGGCACAGTTGCAGATGCAAGAAGGCAAGGAACACTGTTTGCCTGCTTGTGCAATCAACGTCACAGAAGATGGCGATAAGGTTTTGCCTGTATTGAACATGTCCAGTTCCAACGTCAATATTACTAAAGGCGATGTAGCAGCCAGTGGCTCCTGGTGTTCAGAAATATCTGAAACCGTCATCAAACGAAGGACGACGGATCTCCTGGAACCGACGAAAGCGGAAGATGTATGAACAGGACCTCAGCTTTGTCCTGACCTGTCGAGGAGATACCGCCTTACAACAGAGGACGGTCCTATCGTGCGAGCGCCTTTCAAGACGCGGCCAGTTAAGGAATGCTACTGCTACAACTGCGCAGGCCAAGGCCAATTTGGTCACCATTGCCACATGAAGATGAGGGGCAATCCAGGTACGGCTTACATCATATCTTACGACGACCCTCACGAGTCTCAACATCAGAGTAGACAGTCAGAAGGAAATTGGCGAGCACCACCGAACAAGCAGAAAGGAGGCAAGGGCAGCCGCAAACCGGTGCACATCAAGTGAGGACACTTGAATTTCAGGATGGCCGAATGTTAGCGCCCTCGCAAAAGAAGACGACTGACCCCAAGCTCGCGCCACCACCCGCGTGGCGCACCGTTCTTTTTGCTGGGCAGGCGTACCCGCCAGACGTGATTAAATGCTCCCTTTTAAACCTTCACTGGTCCCCCGTTTCCCATGTCGAGGCTCTAACACATGTACTAAAACCGATGAATACTTTTATTGTCAAATATAGTTCTTGTAATTTTATACATAACCCGAAAATCCCGAATTTAGTTTTTAGAAAAACCCGATTTCACCCTATTGCAAGCTTAAAAAATGACGCCTAATTTTTACTTCCCCCCCCCCCTCCTCCCTCCCTCCCTCCCTAAAACCTGCAACTGCGCACTGCGGGAAAGCAATACTCGCGAGCTCCGCTGGTACTGCTTCCCCGCAGTGCACAGGTGCTCGGTGAGAAGCGCACTCAACGGGGCTAACTCGCCGCGATTATGCAAGAGTATATGTTAGGCGCCGATGTCTTGACAGCCTGCGTTCATCACTCGTAATTTTTTTTTTTCTTCAAATTTGAAATGGAAGAAGGAATATTTGCATATAGGGAGCATATTTATAAATCCCCTCGATTAGGATAGCTGCTACAAATTTGTTATTTACATGCCAGAGTTCATACATATAGTAGTTATATTGAAGTGAACTAAGCTTTGAAATGGACAAAGGGAAGGTTGAAAGCAGTGTTCACGAGTTAAGATGAATTTTCGTTTTAAACATGGTGCACGGTAGTGGTGCGAAACTGGTCGTATTATATTCGAAAATATTCGGTCAGAACACTATTCACTTCGAATTCGCTTCGGATTCAAAACCCGCTATTTGCAAATGGCTGCCGTAAAATCCGGTATGAACGCCCTCCCCCGCGAGATCGCCCATCCCGTTTTTCTGGCTGAATATCCATAACTTAAAAATTCCAAAACATCGCTCCTCCTCGCCGATTCCCGTCAGACGTCACGCAATATCCGACTTGAATCAGATCAGCCGCGCGATCTGCGGGACGGGTACATGAGAGAAGCGAGTTCGTAGCGGGTTCCCGCGTTCTTCTCCGCGATCTGTGTGCGCAATATCGGTTCTTGTGAAATGCGAGTTCGTAGCGGATTCCCGTGTTTTTTGTCCGCGATTTACGTGCGCGATAGTCTATTCCCGTGGTATGCAAGTTTGCAGCAGGTTTCCGCTTGTTTATAGCACCCTGAAATGCGAATCTGCTTAATCCGCAATCTGCAGTGTCCTTTCCTATGACACAAGAGTTTGTTGTGAATTCCCGCGTGTTTGTGTTTGTCGCGTCGTGAAATGCGAATTTGCGGTGTCCGTGTCGGCGCTCTGCAGTATCAGTTCCTTCAGGTGGTTCCTAGCCATTGCCTCCGTGTTTATCATTAAGTTTTGATAAAGTTTTGCAGTCTCATCTTGAAAGATAACCTACCTCATGTTTTTCACCATTTATCTCTTTAATCTTTAATGAACACTACCCTGAAATCCCCTATAAGGGCACCCTTACAAGGGATTTTAGGGTAGTGTTTATTATTTGAATACACCTATACAAGGCATTGGCAAGGACATAGTTGCTTGTAATTGGTCCCTTCTAAAGAGTTTGTTCGCTGAATTACCTAAATTTACTCAACTAGAAACATAAATAAAAAACACATTTTTTGAATGAGCAACGTGACAGTCTGTTTGAAACACTTCTGGGATTTCGGCTGCGCGGATGCGCCGTGGAGTGCCTGGTGAGAAGCTGGAATGGCACTTTGCAGGACACACCTAATCGTGGCCTCTCGGCTGGTGCGACCGGGCCAGACGTACCAAGTGGTGGTGACGATGCTGCAGATTCAGGAGCCCGTCACGGTGCTGGCGTCCATCCAGCGCAATGGCGTCGAGGTCACTCAGAACGTCCGCGAGTGCAAGGCCCCTGTCCCTGAAGTCATCCTTCTCAAGGTCAATTTACCCTCTTGGGTGACAATTCAATATGTCTGTTCCCGGCTCCGGCCAAGTAAATGGCGTAAAGTGTTAATACAGGGAACTCTGCAGTGGGAGTCTCCCGCTCCCAGTTATTCTTTTGTAGACTGTCACATATTTTTGTTGCACTGTGAGGAAAGCATAAAGAACAGGTGATTGGACATCCAGATATTAAACCATCATGTATTGTTAAGTATTGTTTGTATACGGTATAACACAATTGCTTGCAGGGCGGCATGAGGTTCAGATATAGTAAACACATTGACCTACTACCATTGTTTTTGTTATCAGGCAAGCAGTGTCCTAAGCAGACTGTCTGGCTGATGCATTTGTGCTTTTCATTTCATTTTTCCTTCTTATGGGTTTTAGGTGTTTTTTTTCCTACTTGCTGATGACGTGCTACAACTGGTGATCTTGCAATAATGTAACGGCTGTTGTTGGAGTGTTATTTTCTTTTAAATAATGCAATTGGAAGGGTGGATTCTTCATTTCAGTTTTGGACAAGACTTATACCAGGGTTGATAGATAAGCTTTGCCTCCTAGGCTGTAACCTTTTTTATTCAGTGATGGAATTGAAAGATCTTACGTTAGAATGAAAGTTTGGAATCTCCACTTTCCCAGGAACAGGCAACATATAGTCTCCACCTGTGGCGATGCACTTCCGCTGCCGGTGCACTAGTTCCTGCGTGCCATCGTAGAACAATGAAGGCGGCTGTTGACGACACCAACGGTGGACTTCATCGGTAACCTCGTCGTCGGTCGCAAACCATGTACCCTTCAGACGTTCTTTTATCTTGGAAAAGAGCCAAACATCTGATTACGCGAGGTCCGGGCTGTAAGGTGAATGAGGCAAAACATGTTAAAACTGCAGCTCCTCCAGCACGGCATTAGCGTCGTCAACAGCCGCCCTCATTCTTCAACGACGGCATGCAGAGACTAGCGCACCAGTAACGGAAGTGCATCGCCATCGCCTCTGGTGGGGACTTTAACTTGAAAAGTTATGCGCTCCCGGGAAAGAGGAGATTCCAAAATTTCATTTAAATGTAACATCTTGCAAGTCAGTGTTGTGATTGCTGCGCCAAACTGCGCCAAGGGGCTAACCCTGCTACATTTTGACTAAATATGGGTAATCTGCGCCAAGCCTGCGCCAAAGGACCAATTTTGGTCGCCTTTGAAAACCGAAACTAAACTTAGTTCCGTAATTGAGCACACATGAGCTAGGTGACGCAAGCGGCCGCCCGACACAAACCACCCTGCATCAAGCGTTCATCCGGTCTTGCATGGTTTTTCCCGCAGTCTCTCGTCTCGCGTCTTTTTTAAAAAAATGTTTCAACGATCGACGCAGGCGTTTGCGGACGCTCCGACGCTAGCGTGCTGGGTACCAGCCATTCCGTCATGCTGTAAAACGAAACCATGTTTTTGCGCGGCAAGAGTTTATGAGCTGAAGCACTCGCTCCTGAAAGCAACGGCCATGGCTTAACTATATTTGGTCCCTGCCTGCCAGTCATCGTGGTCGCGCGACGTCGGGTGTTGCCGTCCCCACGTCGCTGCAGATGTGGCTCTTTCTAAACTGAAATGTAAGGACTGCTGCATGTTCATCAACATTCCTCTTGTTTAATACGCTACAAAAATCCCTCTAGCTCAAAGACTGCTGTGTCAAAGTATTGATTACCTAGGTTTCTCTCGGTAGGCTTTCTTTCGAGACGGTACGTGAAAATTCTGCCGCGAAAGAAGGTTGGTAAAGAGAAGTGAGCTATAGCAAATAAGGCAATGTCTGCACGCGGAACCCCCAAAGCGCGCTTGTTTGTCTCGAGTTTAGTCGCTGCACAAAGCGCTCCAAGAACTTTTTGACCCTGGCTCGCGATGTCTTTCATCGATGCGCTTAGGTTCCTTTTTTTTTTTGTGTGTGTGTGTAGCTTGTACCTGGCCTGCCGGCCTGGAAAGCCCGTGCCGCTGGCCTGTTTTTTGTCGTATGCTTGACGGTTACATTTTGCTTACAATTTTTGGAACCAGTTGGCGACGGAGCGGAGTGGCATGGTTTCGATCGAACAGCCATCTCCGCTGGCGCGCCAATTTCGCATTGCACGGCAGTAGTTACGTGTTTCAACAGTCTAAGACTGCTTCCATTTATTATATTACTAGTCAACCTAATGCTGTAATATTTACTAAAAAGCATGCCATTTTCAAATAAATTTTAATATGTGCAGTTTGTTTCTTATTTACCTATAGCGGGTATACCGTATTTACTCGCACAATGAACGCACCCCCCAAGTCGGCTCTCAAAATTTGGACTTTCTTTTTACTCGCGTATTAAACGCACCCCCAACTCGGACGTCAAAATTTTGACCCCGTCCCCCCACGCGCGCGAAATGAACGCACTTTTTCTCTCCTGGTGCAGTGGGTCGCGAATGCATGGGTTGCGTGGGCGAACAAAAACGCCTTGCAAAAGGCGTTAAAAAAATTCGAAAAGATCCAACGGAAGCAAGAAAAAAAAACAACATGGAGAGGAGCTCTTTTTTTTTTTTTATCACAGCGCAGTCTGGACTTAGGGGTCGCGCGCCGCGCGCAAGGAGGTAAGAAAGAGAAGCGGAGAAGCCCTCTAAGCAAAAGAGACAGCTTGTGAAAGGCGGCAAAAAAAACAAAAAACACGGAATTAAGAGAAAAACAAAACAAAGAGGAGTTTTTTTTTTTTTTTATTTTGCACAGCGCAGTTTGGTAACGGGGCGGGGGGTCGCCCGTCGCGCGCCGCATAAGGAGATAAGAAAGATAAGCGGAGGAGCCCTCGCCTAAGCAAATGAAACAGCTTGCGAAAGGCGGCAAAAAAAAAAAAAGAAAACAAAAAGGAGCTCTTTTTTTTTCTTTTTTTTTTTTTTTTGCACAGCTCAGTTTGGTTACGGGGTCGCGCGCAAAGAGATAAGAAGTTACTTGGATTTTTCAGGATAAAAGGTTTGTTCATTATGCGAGTAAATACGGACGCAAAAATTTTACTTCGCGTAATGGACGCCCCCCCCCCCCCCCCCCCCCCCAACTTTGCATTGATTTTTCGGAAAAAAAAGTGCGTTCATTCTGCGAGTAAATACGGTAGGTATATATGCGTATCATTTAACTGAAGCATTGCAAAATGTGTCATGTCACTGGCATTTCAGTTACATGTAGAAAGACTTCCAGGTGGTCTAACTTGACTATAATTGGTTTATTGGGGCAAGCAAAGTGTCCTCTACTTGAAATGAATATTTTTATATTTCTAAGAATATCTGCTCCAAAAGCCACTTTTGCTGCTCTGAAACACTGTTTTAGTTGCTCCAAAAGCCACTTTTGCTGCTCCAAAACATTGTTTTGGCAGCTCTGAAAGGTGCTCCAAAACGGCTTAGGCCAATCACATCACTGTGCAAGTCCATCACTGAATAAAAAAAGTTACAGCCAAGCAGTCAGAACTTATTGATCGCCCCTCATATTTTAGGTACCGGTATGTACTGCTGAATTGTAAATGTCAAAGTTATTGGCCAAACGTTTTGTTTTCAATTGCAATGGGTCATTTAAAAGGCCACTTGCACAAATGATTATGTTCTTTATTATTGTTTAAAATGAGGAAGAAAGTGAGAACACTTCTGTTTTGTAAAGTGAGCAGTTGTGGAAAATCCAAATGAGAACACAATGTCATACCTCTGCATGGACCACTAACTTCTTGCAGCAGATACTAGTGTAACTGGGAAGCATGTTGGAGTGGGATCCTTCATAATATTATTTAGACATGGGGGTCTTTTAAAACCTGTATTTCATTATTTTCTTCAACTGTCTTACAGGTTCCTCCATCAAGTATTCCTGGAAGCTACAGACTGAGAGTAGAAGGAAACATCAATGGTGTCCTTGGTGGCACCGCTTTCTCCTACGACACGCAACTTGATTTTTCGCAACGCTCAATGACAATATTTATTCAAACAGATCGACCACTGTACATGCAGGATCAAACAGGTAATTGCTTTTTGTCGCTGCTGCTGCTGTTGCTGTTGCGGTTTAAAGGCACCTGTTCCAGTCTTATAACTTACGGAGTAATTAGATCTTTAGCTGGGCGTGTTATTACATGTTGCTTCTTATTGTTACAGTTCAATTTCGTGCACTGCCAATCACGACCGAGCTCAAACCGTTTTCCGACGCCATCGATGTTTACATGTTGAACCCCAACCGAACAATCGTCCGACGTTGGCTTTCCAGACGAACAAATCTAGGCAAGCTTTTCCTATTTCACCTTAGTTATAGATAGGGTGTGTACTTTCTGGTGTTTATTTGTGAGAAAAACCGGCGAATGTTTTTCGGTGTTTATTTATTTTCAAAACACCGGTGTATTTCGGTGTAACGTCTCACGGCTAGGCTAAAATCGGTGATTATTGGTGGAAAAAAAATGTGATTGATCAGAGACAGAGTTTCAATTTTATTCACAGATTTCATACACTTCTTCTTTAGGAAGCATCTATTTCTCACACTAGGTTATTATAGTAAATGCAAGCATACTTCGAGAGGCTTGCATCCGTCATGGCAGCACGTTCCTTGCGGTTCACAACCCGCAACTACGAAAACGCACGCTCCTGTACGACACGGACGTTGGCAGTGTCTTCCAGCAGCCACAGCAACCTCTGAATACATGGCTTGCACCGACATCACTTGGCCAGACACAATCGGGAAAGGGCACGTGAGAGCGTACCCTCCACTGCATTAATTTTTCGAGAAAAGTGGGCCATGGGAGACACAATAGGGGAAAGGCGTGTGAGAGCTTAGCTTCCACTGCGTTCACTAGACGCTTTTGACCCCCAGAAAGGAGGGCAGACTGACGCCACGTGCAAGCCATGTATAAACACTGGAAGGATGCAGGATCCACGAGATAACACGTTTGACGAACCTCTAGGGGGAAAGGGTTTCGCTAGATCGGAAACGGGCAACTACCGGTGTTTTCCGTTTTTAACCAGGGCGAAAATATCCAACCACTGGTGTTTTTTGATTTTAACCGATTTTATATTTTCGCCACCGACGGATGTTTATCGGTGTTTTTCGGTTAAAACCGGAAAATACACACCCTAGTTATAGATTGACAGATTACATTGTTTCTACACTTTGACTGATGGCAAAACATCATCCTTGGGCTTGGGTTCTTAACAGGTGCTGTCAGTTTAGAGTATCCTCTATCCTTACAACCAGCCTTTGGGAAGTGGACAATTCAAGTCATTGCTCAGGTATGTGCCGGGGGTCATTTAATTTTTATTTCTAAGATGAATCTGTGTGTAGTGTGAGTTTCCCTGATGATTGTAAGTAATTCATTTGTTTACTCTAGGGCCAAGTCGAAGAGAAGTCTTTCATTGTGGAGGAATACTGTAAGTGCATTTCCGGCGTTTAGTTAGATGGCAGTGATTGAAGTGTCGGCACTTGAAACACCTAACATAACTTTATTAACCTTTTTTCTTTTAATGGAGACATTATTATTTATTTATTTATTTTGCAGACCAGACAAGATTTGAAGTGAATGTCACACTGCCCTCTTTTTTTATGGCAACCCACGAGTACATTCATGGCTCTGTGGAGGCAAAGTGAGTGAAACCTTATTCAAATCGACTCTTTTTTGCAGAGGTTGGCAGGAATTTGGAGCTTGAAGCCTGGTTTGCATTTGCATTTGCAAATATTGGCATTAATAAGTAAGAAATTGGACAAAGGAAAATGTTATTATTTATTTTATCTGTGATTATATCTTACATAATAATATATTAAAATATATTATTATACACTAAAACCTCGTTATAACAAAGTTGAAGGAGCGATCATAATTATTTCGTAATAGCCATTAGTTTGTTATAGCCACTGTCCATTTCTTTCCACTATTAGCAAGCAAGGGGAATTATGATTGCTTTGTTATATTCATTAGTTTGTTATATCCCATTTTTTTATAACAAAGTTTTACTGTATAAGATTTAAAAAAAAAAAAAAATTTTTTTTCTTTGTTTTATTTTACTTACCCTATTTTGCAGACTCTAGTCCGCACCCGGCGTATAGTCCACACTTGGTGCCTAATCCAGACGTAAAAATTATCATACACAGCACACCTTGACAAATGCACATATTAGCATAGAGTGAAGCTTGTATGGAACATAAATCGACACTAATATGCTTTGTTATTCATAAAATTCTTCACGTCTTATCGCGGTGAACAATCTAGAAAGTAAACAAATCCTTGCATGTCCGCACCTGTAGATAGCCCGCACCGGGTAAAATTTCAACTTTTAAACATGTACAGTAGACTCATTAATTCAAACTCCAGGAAGCTATGGATTTTGTTTGAATTATCAGAAACATAGGCGTAGACTACGGAGGGGCATCTGGGCTCGTGCCCCCAAAGGTGAGATCCGAGATGGGGCAGAGCGCCCCCCAGGGACATGATCCTTACCGAGATGCTGTTTACGTGCCATGTAACGAGCTTCTTGTAGTGGCATGTAAACAAAATAACACACACAGCGACGGACACATGGGGATATACATATGCTCAAAAATGTACACCCTAAAATAAACTACTGATAATTGCCGGTGTAAAAAAAAATTGCGCGGAAAAACCCCCCCCGGGAAAATGGAAAGTCCACGCCGCTGATCAGAAATATATCTAAATAGGATGCACAATAAAGTTAGAATTTGTTATATGAATGGCTACGCACACAATGCAGATATTTGATGATTTCCTCTACACAGGCCTGCTAATCACAAACAGGAATACCACATGTGAAGCATTGGGGAAATGTATAGACCGACACGCTGTTTAGAAACAAACCCGCTTTTGCGTAGAAACCGAATTCGTGTGAAGTGCAGCGTCTACACATGCGCCATGCCGTCGACAGCGCCACCGCAGCTGCGTGACGTCAGTACCGCATGTCGGTCTATAAGATAAGTTTATTCATCCCTTAAAAATGTTGTCTATTGTGGACTGTTTAAACAGCACATGACACTCTGAACAAGATTAAGTTTGTTCATCCTGTAAAACAGTTGTCTTTTGTGGACTATTAGCCCTGTTGAGTGCACTTCTTGCCGAGCACCGGTGCACTGCGGAGAAGCAAAACCCGCAAAAGCGGCTCCGTGGTTATTGCCTCTCCGCTTTGCACTAGTGCCCAGAAAGAAGCGTGTTCAAATAAAAAGTATATAATTACACGATAACGCCATTCGAATTAAGCGGCTTATAAATACACTGAAAACATAACGGGACAATCAAAATTTTTAAGTTTGAATTATTGCGAGCCTACTGTATAGTCTGGAAAATATGGTACATTTCCACATTTTGATTTTTATGTAGCTAAAAAGTATGGACACCACTGTGTTGTTATGTTAGCCGCTAGCAAGCCTCCTTCGTTCTTCCGTGTGCTCATTTTGATTGTTTCCCTTCAGCTTCACAAGCGGTGCCGCTGTAACTGGGAACCTCACATTGCGTGCTACTGTGGAACCAATCAAGCCCACGTACAAGATATACCGCGGAACATCGAGATATATTGAGAAGGTCTACCGTTACGTAAGTCCCCGATTCAACATTCCCTATTGGTTGTACCTACATCATGTGCAAAATTAGGCAAGGAAAGTTTGGTATAGTCCTTGGCATTGCTTTTTTTGGCCGTAGGAGATGGAATCAGAAACCAAAAAACAAATTAATAGAAAAGGTTTGCTATACTAATTACCGTTTTGCAAAAAATATACTATAATTAGGGGTGTGCAAATACCGCTTTGAATCGAATAGCACTGTGTGATTCGTAACCTTCACAGTCGAAAAGAAAGCCACGATAACCGGTTTGCTTAACAGTGTCAAATCTAGCGATGACACTGCTCTATTCAATTAGATTCGGTAGTCACACATCCCTACTACCAATGGCAAAAAGACTGACATCCTGATTCCTGTTTGTAAGAGAAAACTAGCTTTTGGAATACATACGGCTTCTTGGATTAAAGAATACAAATGTTTACATGGATGGTTACATGACTGTGGTGTAGCCAGGATTTCTTTTTTGGGGGGGGAGGGGGGAGGGGGGGGGGTCGGTTGGTCGAAATGCATGTGTATATTATAGTGCCGGCTTGACTTTGGGGAAGGGGCGGCGGCAAATGGCTGAATCCCCATAAGCTCTTACCCTGGCTACGTCACTGTTACGTGGCAAATAGGTTTTTGTACTGAGTGATTGCAATGATGAGCCGTTATGTTGAAGGAAGAATGATTGCAATGATGCATGAATGAACCAAATTTTGAAGCATCCTTGTTCCTTCTCTCTGTGACCACCGACAGTTTGAGGGCGTGCTTGACTTCCACTTCTCACTGCGGGAGCTGGGCCGTCTAGTCTCACGTCTTGACGGGATGAAAGTAGTGGTGACGGCCTACGTCGGCGAGCGCTTCCTCGACCTCATAGAGACTGGCTTCTCCGAGTCGGTCGTCTTCAACTCAAGCCTCCAGCTTCGTTTTCTCGGTTCTTCGCCCCAAGTCTTCCGCCCTGGGATGCCCTTCAAGGCTTACGTAAGGGAACAGCAAGCAACCTTGTGCATCAGTATTCTGCAAGAGCGCATAGCAAATTTGTGTGTGACTTGTTTTTGTAAATTGAATTTTTTTTTTGTAGGCAGATGACCTCGTGTAGACACCAGTGACAAATATTGATTTTCATATGGCTGCTGTTTTACTCTCCAGTTGGGCAGCAATTTCTAGGACCTTTTACTCTAGAACAGTGGTTCTCAAATGGAGGTCTGCAGACCCTTTGGGGTCTGCAAAGGCATTCTAGGGGTCCTTGAAGCCCTGCCTCATCAGTCAAGCCCAGCATTAAAAGTTGTCTTTTTTTCAAATTTAGAAGAAACATTCCAATTTTCGGGTTTGTCATTGAGAAAAGTGTACTTCACACAGCCTTCAGTTATATCCGTTTATTAAACCATTCTAATAATGAACCGCAAACTTTCCCTTCCCCCCCGCTATGAACAGGGTCCTCCACCATCTCTGCTGATCCACAAGGGGTCCGAAGTATCAATGGCTGAGAACCACTGATGTGATCTAGAATATCAAGATGAGCATCAAAAGTTGCACGACTCCAGTGTTCTTTAGACTGTGTTTGAAAAGGGATTCTTAGGAGTTATAAGGAGTTTGGAAAAATCTACAAAATGGGCCACTTGCCCGTTTTGAATCGGGTGACTCTGTGCCTTGCTAGTGACTTCGAACTTTCCACAAAGTTTTTTAAATTATTTCATCCCAAACATTGATCAAATCTTTTTAAAGATATTTTACGTTCTTGCACTTCGAAGTTCAATTTTGCCGTATTCCGCTTGCTCGCATCTCATTCCAGGTGAGCGTCGCATACAGCGACGGTTCTCCACTGCCTGCGGAATACTTCAGGAACAAGCGGGTGGAAGACATGCTGCGGGTGACCCAGTCGGTGACCTACGTGAGTGGTGGTGCAGGAGGCGGTCAGATGCTGAACCCGGTGCCCACACCCGTCTCGGGGTCCCTCGGCATTTGGGAGGTAGTCCTGGAATCTACGCCGTCTTCGAGTGACTCCTCTTCGGTTAACGCTGTTAGGGCCATCAGGCTCGAGGTGAGGAGCTCTCCTATATCGGCGGTCACCTTTTGACATTATCTCTTAACATTTTCTGACCTGTCAAAACGTCTAAAGACGCTTTGAAGCGTCCAGACCTTGCAGAGTTTGGTAAAATTGTCATTGATAGTTTTTGCCCGAGTTTGCACAACTGTGTGATCACTTTAGGATTGCATCGTAAAATGAGCATCTCTTTCGAATCGGTGACAGAGATTCACGGGTTAAGAAAAGCAGGACATGCTCCTCCTTCAAAGCCTTTCACTCTTTCCACTTTAGAGGAGCGAACGCTTGAGAAGAGGCGAAAGAGGAGGCAAGTCCTTTCGCCTCCTCTCCTGCGTTTGCTTTACTAAAATGGAAGAGTGGAGGGCTTTGTGGGAGGAGTTTGTACTGCCTCTTTCAGCTTGAACAGAGTTTGGAGGTGTTTTGTCTTTAGTATGTAGCAAGCTTACGCTTGAGTGTCTCACTCCGGGAGCTGGTCCTCATCATTTTGCCTTTTGTTCTAAATGGTCCAGGCGGATTTCTATGACGCCAACTACGGGCAGGTTCGGGCCAGCCTTGTGGCGTACTCATCTTATTCACCCACCAACCACCACATTCAAGTGATGACCAGCACAAAGAACCCAAAAGTATGTTGCTATGATTGATAGCTAGTTCCCTTGTGATTGCACATTGAAGTGTTAATGTAGACCCGAGTTCTTCAGTCTATTGCAGTAGTTTGGGGGGCCAGATTGAGCATATATTTTTCCAAATTCTGTGCTGATTGCATTCATTGCCAAATCATACATTAATTGCATTCATTGCCAAATCGTACATTAGATTGAAGCCATTATGTTCCTTGTTTTCAGGTCGGCGAGTACATCATCTTTCACGTGCGGTCCAACTACTACGTGGAATGCTTTTCTTACATCGTAAGTGGGGCTTCTGGATTGTGCATCTCATCATGAATGCATAAAACTTTAGTTATTGAGATCACTCCAAAAGCAGCATAACTGTTGATGCTTCTTTCTGTGATCATTATATCTTCTAAAAGTCTGCATGAAACACTTCGTTTGATAAGAATTTTTTTCATTTTGTTTCTGTAGAAAAAGGTTGAAATATAGACCTTCTTCACAAGGGCACCCCCATCTTCAAATATCGTTACATCCAGTATGGGCAAAAACATAGTTTTGCCGCTGGCACGCCAATAGAGTACATTTAGGATATAAGCGTAACCATCGCCCATTCTCGTTTTGCCTCCCCTCGATTTTTTTTTTTTTTTACTATTTGCAGGTTGAAATGTTTTATTATATTTTTGTTGCTTATACCGGATATGCCTACCAGGTGGCTGGGCACGGGAGTAAGTGAAAAAGGCCTATATACCTTTTTTATTTGCTCCCGTCACCAGTCACCTGGTAGGTATATCCAATATGGGCGACGAAAAAAAAAATAAAACATTTCAACCTGCATATAGTAAAAAAAAAGGGGGGGGATGCAAAACGAGAATCGGCGACGGTTACGGGAAAATAATAAATAATGTTTTTACCCATACTGGAAGTGACAAAATTCTAGATGGCGCCGCCCTTGTGGAAAAGGTCTATAATAGGCCGTAGACTTTCCGGTTATAACCGATAAGCATCCGCCGGTGTTAAAGTACAAAATTCTTTGAAACCGAAAAGCACAGATATCTGAAAATGCTTTGCTCTAAGAGAGGACTATTTTTGCCCGAATCCTCTCTTAGTAGTTTGTCGGGTGCATAGTTTTACATAGAATCAAGCACCGTGCCAGTCCCAAGCCATTGGAATCACTGATCTTGGAGGACATTGGCATGAGAATTAAGTCAGTCAGTAAGTCGCCACGGACTGTCACATTGTCTTTCTTTTAACGAGATCAGAGTAGGACGACAGTGTTCGAAATTGCGCTGGTGGTCATTATTGGTTGAAACTTGCAAAATAAGCTTGCATTCCTCGTAATAAAAAAATTTTGCTTGCAAACACCTCAGTTTTCGTCATCAAACAGAGCAAGAGGGTACAGGAGGTATTAACTGAGCTTGAAGGAATGCATCACGGGAAGGGAAATTGCCTTCCGGCCAACATTGCCATGGTCAAAGCTGTGATTTGTGGCAGGTGTTCTGTACCGCTAGCTGCCCTCTGGTGGGTTCAAAAACAAGAGTGTAGCTTGCTTAAAGAAACATTTATTTTGGGCGAAACATCATACGTAATCCATGAAAAAAACTAAAAATAAAAATATTGGTTGATTGTCGCACCGAGAGGCTTTGATGAAGCCACCAGTTGACAAAGACGAACAGTAAGCACTCAATTAGCTTCTATATTCCCAAGCGACCCAGCTTGTGACAGATGGCTGTGCATTAGTCTCATAGCTAGCCTTTTATAACTCACAACTTTGGCATTGAAGGAAGTGACGACGTCTATATTTTGCAATGTGCACGCGTTCAAAATCGAGACATACTTTAAAGAGCCTGGTCGTAACATTACAGGGTATTGTTTTTTTACACTGTTTACGGGGAGACATACCTGAATTTAAAATTTATGAACGGTTAAATAGTAAAAAAGGTGGCACCGCATATGCCACCTGTATGCATATCAGCGCTTAACGGATGAAAGTTTTGATTTGATAATCTCAAATGGTAACGGCTGTCGGTCCGAAGGGCTAGCAAATGATTGTACTTGCCTCACGCACAAGGTAATTGTTCATTCTGATTTACTCTACTTTTGAAACATCACCGAGCTGCTCAAGCTTCGTTTGCCGACACTCCGTGCAAGTGCATCCTCCCGTTGCCACTACGAAGGTTCTCCAGGGCACCCGTCTTCGGAGAGCCGTCTTTGCACACGCTCGCTCAGTCAAGCACATGGACATTAGGGTTAGAACACGTACAGCAACAGATAACATTCACGTTGGGCTGGGAAGAGACGCCTGGTGTCGAAACTCCTCTTCACGATCGCAGTTGATGACTTCGATGACGAGGCAGTAGCATTGATGACTCAAGGGAATAACTTATTTACGTTGCTCAGTCGAAAATTCTCATTAGATTCCAATTGGAATTTCCAATTGGTACCAGTTAGGTTTTTGGACAACCAATTGGTCACTGTAATGGGAACCAACGGGAACCATTTGAAACCATTAAGTTTCCAACTGGAAAACTTTTTCCAACTGGTGAGACCCATTGGCCAGTGTGCTTCCAATTGGAACTCACTAAGACCGATTGGTTCCAATTAAAGCCAGTGAGAATTCCAATTGGATCTAATGATAATTTTTAGCTGGGAGAGTCACAAAGGCCTGTGGATGACACAGGCCCGTAACCGACGCTCGGAACATCTTCCGTTAGAAAAAGAAAAATCTTCCGCTCCCTGTGACGGCGTTCAACTTCCGTCCCAAAAGGGGAACACACACATTCCTTCCATGCGGCGGGGCCACTCGCACCTGACTTGCGTTTTGATCCCCACCAGCTGCCCCCTTCTCTTTGGAGAAAAAGTGTCTCGGTAACAACAAAAAAAAAAAAAAAAAAAAAAAGGCTCGGGAATTTGAATTGCGAGAACACCATGTGACGCACGCCAAGAATGGCAGATAAAAATGCGCCTATGCACAATTTCGTGCACAGGCCAAGCGCATTGAAGCGCACAGCCAACATTACCCTCGGCAATGGCGGATAGCAGGCCTGCACTAAAGCATGATGCATTGTGAATATTCCCTATAGCAGGTTAAAAGGAAGACGAAAAGCTCCAGATGATTATGTTAAAGAGTGCTCGGACTTTTACCATCATTCAAACTGATTGTCCGACGCTTTCAATTAAACCCTGTCACAAATGATGGTAAGAGGAATCGCTGGTGTGTACAAATTGTGAATTAAATTTGAGCTCTTAGTTTTTCAGTTCTTTTTTTTTGTATCTAGGCAATTTATTTTGCCAATAATCACCATTATGAACAGCCTTACAAAACGAATGGCCGAAATACGCCGATTTTCTTAAAAATAAATATACACCGAAAAACATCCACAGATTTTCCTTAAAAATAAACACTGAAAAATCTGCAGGGATATAATATTTCTGTTTTTTCTTTCTGCAAACTTGGTATTGTATGCTTTGGCACTTTTTATCTTGACTGGCTTGCGAAGTGCCACGAACCCTTTCATTACTGATAGAGTATTTATGCACTGTAATATCTTAACATATGTTCTTCACCGTACAGGTCATCTCGAAAGGAATCATTCTGCTTTCGGGCCAAGAGAAGATGACTTCCAGCATCAAGACATTTGCTGTGACCCTATCGCCTGAGATGGCACCCACATCCACTGTGATCATTTACGACTTGGCACACGGCAACGAAATCGTGGCAGACAGTCTCACATTCCCTGTTGATGGAATATCAAGAGACAAAGTAAGACCTTAGCTTCCCGCATGTATCCCGAGGGCATTGCTTGCTGCTCTGTGACCAGAATTTTCTTTAGTGCTTATTGCATGACATGACTAGAGTCTTAGGTGCTGATGTGCTTGGTCGCAGTTCAACATGACTCTGAACAACAGGAAGGACAAAACAGGAGACACGATAGAGGTGGCCATTTATGGTGACCCTGGCACCTACGTTGCTCTCTCAGCAGTAGACCGCACACTGTACAACATGCAAGCAGGCACAGAGATCAGCTACTCTGAGGTACTGAACCTTTCCCATGCTTTTCTTCTTAAAGTGCCTTCCTTTTTACATATTTTGAAGATGCTTTGACAGTGGCATTCCCCATACTTTCACTGTTGAAACAACCAAATTTTGTTACTCTACATTTTCCTTCTTTTCAGGTGTTAAGGAAGATGAACTCATTTGACTCTGTCATCAACGGCACACTGACTCAAGAGTGGTTCTCAAGGGAAGGAAATGATTACAGTTTTGTCTGCTTTCCGTCACCTACTTATGGCCTGGACTCAAACCGAACTTTTGAGGTAAATGCGCTGTATAAACATTAGTTGCTAGAATGCTTGTCTCCAAAGCATTTAGGAATGAACAGATCAAAACAGCTCACAATATCTGAAATCTTTGAAACATTATGTGGCCAGTGCTGTGATTGTCTGGTAGTGTGCACAAACAATCTCAAATATATTTAAATATTTGCTTATATAGGATATGAGTATTAGCATCACATTTTGTATCTGCAGTCCATACATCGTTACACCCACATTTTTACAGTTTGCTGGTTTGATGGTGTTCAGCGATGGCAACATAACCCGAATGAGAGGCAAGTGTCCTGGACGCTCCAGTTACCTGATGTCCTGTCTTCTGTTGGTTCTGTTATATTGTGGATCTTTAATATTGTACTGCTCTGACTTTTTTTGGAACTCGGGTCACATTTCAAAATTAATGTTTTTGTGTTTTATATTTTTCTCAAATCAAAAAACTAGTGTTGTGCGAATATTTGAAATTTCGAATAGTAGTTTCAAATAATAAACTATTCAATATTCGCTTCAAGATGAACTGCAATGTTCATATTTTTCGAAGTGTTGATCGCGGCGAGTCAGCCTTGTTGAGCTAGCTTCCTATCGAGCACAGGTGCACTGCAGAGAAGCAACACCTGCAGAAGCGAGCTCTGTGGCCTTTGCTTCTCTGCAGTGCATTGGTGCTCGGTAAGAAACACACTCAACGGAGTAACCCGCCGCGATCAACACTTGTAAAAGAATGAATATCACAATTCGGGCTGCGGAGAAAAGCACAGTTTCAAAGCGGGGTGGTGCACACGCATGCCTAATGTGTATATATATATATAAAAAAAAATAAAAAAAAAACTTTGTGAATGTTAATATTTACATTGCAGTAAAATTTTTCAAAATTAAACTGTGGCTGTTGCACAAGAGTGTATGTTAGGCAGAGATGCCCTGATAACTCGTCTTCATCGTACGTGATTCTTTTTTTCTTTTTCAAATTCAAGATTGCAGAAAGAATATTTGCATCTAGCGATATTTGTAAATCCGCTCATATAGGTATAGCTAGGCATCTCTACAGGTTATATTTTATGTCAAATCCATCATTTACTAGTCCATGAATATTCGTAGTTAGATTAAAATTAGCGTATACATGGAGAGATGCAAGCTTGGGAACAACATTCACGAGTTTAGCTGGGTTTTCGTTTAAGCATGGTGTAACAGTAGTGAAAGGCTTGGAGAAACTGTTCAATATTTGATTAGAAAATATTCGGCCAGAACTATTATTTGCTTCGAACTGAAAGACCTCTATTCGCACATGACTACAAGAACACAAGTCACACACACAAGTCAAGGTTTATTCTTTCCAAAAAACTGGGGGAGATTTGGTTTTGATTCAAACATATGTTTGGTATATGCATAAGCCAATGAATCCTTGAAAATTGTGCTCTGTTAAGTTTCATTCAAATATAAAATACAATTTTAAAGCACTGTTTTCTGTCGGTCATACCGTATTCATTCAAACATAGGCTGACCTCTTTATTAACAATGCCAGCACGAGTATTTCTCTGCAACGCTCAAGAAGAGCAAATCATTGTGATTTATGGAAGAGGCCCAGATAATGACGAGGCACTGCTTAAAGTCCCTTGGTATTTCTTTTTACAAGTAACGACAAAATGCATTCCACGGGAACAAAATAGCGTCATTCCGTTCAGTCTTCTGCTGTGCGCCACCTTTCGCTTCCTAAAACCTGCACCGTCACGCACTCGGCACTTCAAAGAATGTCGCTACTTCTAGGAAGCTCTTATCTAGGAAACCTAGCATTGATCGGAACACAGAAATGAGATCTGTGTGGATCGCTTTTTTTTTTTTTTTTTTAATATTTAAAACGTCATTTTTGCTTTGCCATTCGCCGGCTCCTTTCACAAGTCTTAATGATTGGTCTCTGTGGGTTCTGCGGGAACGTAGACTCGCAGGTCTGTTCATAAACGGGTTTACTTATTTTCAAATAAATACTACGATAGTTGTCACCATTCGGAAACTACAATATTTTACTATACGTACCAGATTCCTGAATTTTGGCTGCAATTGGGTTTAACCAGAATACTTTTATTGAATGCATATATTTTTTGGAAGAGATGGGGTTGGACCCAGAAATGTCCAACCCTAATTATATTATACATTATTAGTACAGGTTCGGTCTTGCATAATGACTGAAGACCATGTAGAAGTATTTTTGTGGATAAAGTTACCTTTGGTTGACTGTGCTGTAGTGCATATTTACATTGTTTCTTTTTAAAGTTCACTCAACATTTAAATATTCCAAATGCAATTTTATATAATGCTGTATCATGTTTTCTATCCCATGCAGATGACTGCAACATAACAGCTGGCTATGGCACATGCTATGATGGCTCATGCTTTCGAATTGAGCGACGATGTGATGGCCAGTTCGACTGCGAGGATGGCTCTGATGAAGCACGATGTATGTTCTTCATCATTTCTCGCTCTTTTTACTTTTATGAAGTAAATAGCATATTGCTGATTGCTCACATCTTTAACATTATTGGGTTTTTTTGTCTGATCAGGTGAAGCTGAGCGGGAATTCAACATTCCACAGTTTGAAATGTACCGCATGAACCGGTTCCAGCGCCTCTACACAAATGCTTGGCTTTGGAAAGACATCAATATTGGGTATGCTGGCTGTTGTCCTTTCTCTTTTGCTGTGTTCACTGGATTTGTTTTTATTTTTTTATCCAAGTATTTTTATAAAACTGAAGTTGCACGCAGTGTGTTGTACATATAATGAGCTCCATGTGTAGCTTTCACTCTACGAAAATTTCCTGCAACATTGTAAACAAGCATTCAGTTTTTACTGGAAATATTAGGGTCAAATTTCATAGAAAATATACATTAATATATACTATATACTTTATTGATATTAACAGTGATGTGATGGCTGCACCAATTGCGCCAAACTGTGCCAAGGGGCGAACCCTGCTACATCCTGCTACATTTTGGCAAAATATGGGTAATCTGCGCCAAGCCTGCGCCAAAGGGCCAATTTTGGTCGCCTTTCAAAACCGAAACTAAACTAAGTACCGTAACTGAGCATGCATGAGCTAGGCGGCGCGAACGGCCGCCCGACACAAAATACACTGCGTCAATCATCCATGGTTTTTTGCATGGTTTTTTTCGCCATGCCGTCTCTTCTTTCACGCTCTCGTCGTCTCGTAAGCGTTAATCTCGTCTCGCGTTTTTTTTTTTTTTTTTTTTTTTTTTTTTTTAACGATAGATGCTGGTGTGTGTGTGTGCTGCGACGCTAGCGTGCTGAGTACCAGCCATGACGTGACGCTGTGAAACGAAACTATGTTTCGGCACGGCAAGAGTTACTTTTCTCGCCGAAGCTCTCGCTCCTGAAATCATCAACGGCCACACGACGTTGCAGATATGGAGCTTCCTAAACTGAAACATAAGGACCGCCACATGTTCATCAACATTCATGTTCTTGTTTAAAACATACGCTGCTACAAAAATCCCTCTCTATCTTAAAGACTGCTGTGTCAAAGTATTGATTACGTAGGTTTCTCTTGGTGGGCTTTTTTTCGAGAGGGACCCCGGTACGTGAAAAATGTGTTGCAAAGAAAAGTTGAAGTGAGCTAAAGCAAAGAAGGGAATGTCTGCACGCTGTGGCTCGCGATGTCTTGCATCAATGCGCTCAGGTTCTTTTTTTTCTGTGTTTAGCTCGTACCTCGCCTGCCAGCCTTGTAAGCACGCGGCGCTGGACTCTTTTTTGTCGCATGCTGGGCAGTTACATTTTGCATAGACTTTTGGCAACCAGTTGGCGACGGAGCAGAGAGGCATGGTTTCGGTTTCGATCGAACAGCCATTTCGCTCGCGCGACAAAGCACGTGCACCTGCAAGCCTGCCGGAGTTGCCCTCACGTGCATGCGAACCAATGATGCGAACATAATTGCACGACAGAGGCACCAGCCGGGACGCTTGCAATTCATTGTTTTACATTTAATTACTTTTGATGAAAATGTGGCACGTTGGCAATCAGTAAAACGGTGGCAAGCGGTTTTTCGGAATTGCTTGGCAACGCCTACAGCACTGTACACTTGTGGAATGTCGCAATGTCTCTGGAGAAATTGAAATTGGACATTCATTACTACCCTAAGCTGAAGCAAAGCTTGCTCCAGCCTTGCAGAATGTTTCGAAAAGCAAAAAGAAATGTGTCATGTCATTGGCATTTCAGTTACATATTGAAAGACTCCCAGGTGGCCAAACTTGACCATAATTGGTTCATTTCGGTGAGCAAGATTCCCTTCGCATGTCCAGCATTTAAAACAAATATTTTAATTTTTATTAGGATATCTGCTTTAAAAGCTACTTTTGCTGCTCCAAAATACTGTTTTGGCTGCTCCAAAGGCCACTTTTTCTGCTCCAAAACACTGTTTTGGCTGCTCCGAAAGGTGCTCCAAAACGGCTTAGGCCAATCACATCACTGTATTAATATACCGGGTGTTTTTGCGAAGACTTTCAAAAATCCTAAAAATTAGGGCGATTGAAAAAAGAAGAAACTCTCTTCGGGAACAAACTACCAGCCACGGCGGACGTCAGGAATTGCCAAGAACGTACTAATTAGCCAGATAATTAATTAAAACTTGTTAATTAACTTTTTAATTAGTGGAAATAGACATATGATTCCAATCAGAAAGTTGCTGAGCGTTATCGAAAACCACTAAATCAGTCATTTTCAGAAAGACTTTGAGCGCGTGAGACGAGTAGTAGCGCACTAAAGTTACCGCTCATGGAGCAGGTACAAGGCTAGCGGTTGCGGTAAGGCGCCCGCGCGATTTTTCCGCCTCTTATCTAGCCCCAGCCTTAATTGTACCTGCTCCACGAGTGGTAATTTTAGTATGCTACTCTCAAGCACCTAAAGTCTTTCTGAAAATGACTGATTTAGTGGTTTTCGATAGCGCTCAGCAACTTTCTAATTGGAATCATATGTCTATTTCCACTAATTAAAAAGTTAATTAACAAGTTTTAATTAATTATCTGGCTAATTAGTAGGTTTTTGGCAATTACTGACGTCCGCCGTGGCTGGTAGTTTGTTCCCGAAGAGAGTTCTTCTTTTTTCAATCGCCCTAATTTTTAGGATTTTTAAAAGTCTTCGCAAAAACACCCGGTATATATATATATATATATATATACTTAAATATTTTTTTTTTGTGTTGGTTTAGGGAAGATTTTATGGATTGCCACAGCCAGAAAGACGTAAAACTCACATGCCGTCAGGTCTTTACACTAGTGCACCCGTGACTTGTCCGCGGACGTACACGCAGCCACTACTTGGCGCTGGAAAATGTTTGTTTGCTCAACTATTTCATCCACGATATCTGGCATAAACAAACTTGCAAAAGTCTTCAGCTCACTGGACGCTACCATGTTGCTTTTGGAGATACCTGAAAATGATGAGTCAAACGCTTGCACCTGCGGCTTGAATTCTTTCATCTTCCAATTCAGATTTTGCTTGTTAAGTTTGCTCTTTCGCGCATTCTTCGCCGGCGGGAGCTCTTCATCAGAGTCCTCATTTGAGGAGTCACTTGCATCACCTTCTTCGTCATTGTCGCTTTCGTCAGAGTCCGAATTCATCACCAGCTCCTGAATTTCATCGTCTGTCAGACCGCGGACATAAGTGGCACGTTGATTTGCCGTTGGTGGGCTGCCACTATGAAGCGACGGAGCGCTCAGTCTGTTGTCAAAAAATTTACCTTACAAGTTTTAAGCGTTCAGTGACCTCTACATAGATGGCGCGACGTGCCCACATTGTTTGCTTTCTCCCAAGATAATTCAGGAAAGGCTAGATAATTCAGGAAAGACCGATACTAAAAAACAAAACATCAAAATAGACTAAATACGCGAGAAGATAGATGCTGACAATGTTGATGTCGCCATTTTTGCGGGGCACCGCGTCCCGGTGTCCTGCAAAAATGGCGACAGTGGAAGTGCAAGCATGCGCAGAAGCTTACTGGAAAAAGGTCCATTGTTTTCCAAATTCCTTCTTTCCACTTACGGTTGATATGTGGAGTACTGTTGACGGGCCTACGCACATGCTTGCAAACAATGATCTTCAGCAATTGTGAATCTTTCGTTGTCTTAATGTGTGGTTATTTTTAATTGTTTATTTCTAGGGTGTTTTGTTGTTGTTTCCTACTGTGAGTCATTGCGTCCTCACTCCTGCTATGACCTCAAATGAGGTTGATTATGTGCAAATAATACAGTTGAACCTCAATTTAACGAAACCCGATTTTACGAGTTTCCCGATTTAACGAACAAATTCGGAATCCTTGCGCAGCCTATCCCGAAGAATGTCTTTCTCGACTTTACGAAGTTCCCGATTTAACGAAATAATTAGGGGGTCCCGGTGACTTCGCTAAATCGAGGTTCAACTGTAGTAATAATGCTACACTACAGGAAGAGAGCACCAGTCAAATGCCTATATTCCACCATTTTTTTGATAGCAGCCTTTTTGTGCAAGATAATGCATCAACTCGACAAATGCAGGTGTTTGAGCTGAGAGTGTCTCGCTCTCTACATGTATGCCTTCTTGCTTTCCGTGCGAGCTTCAAAGAAACACTGCACTCTCCCCCCCCCCCAAAAAAAAAAATATTTTAAAAGTCTGGGTTGGACACATGTGTCACAAAATGTACTTTTCTTGAGACAAAAAAAAATACTAATGCAATACTTTTGTTGCAACATATTTTAAGTTTGTAGTGATTTCATCATCTTGCGTTTATTGGTTTCGGAATTGATTAGGCAAGTGTTGCAGTGATGACAAAATAGAGTATCATTCAAACAACCATACAGGAAATGCAGAATGAGATGTTCCTTGAAGTACATGCACTGCACAGTCAATGCAAAACGCAACATTGGCGCTTTTTTAAATTTTACCCATGATGACAGAGTTTCAGGTATGGGAGAAAAAGAAGAAAGACTGTGGATTGCTTGTTTGTGCTAACTGTGTCACGCTCTGTGCATAGTATGCAAGTAGTTTGTACACATCATTATTTTTTTGTGATTTTATAACCTCATATATTTTTGGACTTATTGAAAGAAATTCAGTTCAATGATCAGTTCAATGATTGGCTTAAAAAATTGTTTTCTGATTGCATTTTTTCAGGCCCTTGGGCCGCTACATCTTCAATGTCCCTGTGCCTGATATTCCAACTCAGTGGATGCTCAGCGCATATGGAATGGGAGAGTCCAGTGGATTTGGGATCCTTTCCAACAGCATTTCAGTAAGTACAAAGCTTTGTTTGGAAAAAAAAAATATATATATATATATATGTGCAGTAATCATACTTGTTACTTTTGTTTATCTTATATTTTTGCATTTGTATAGTTTTCTAGTGCCAAACCTTTCTACATGAATGTAGAAATGCCAACGAAAATTCGCCTTGGAGAGCAGCTTGGAATTCGTGTGACTGTATTCAACTACAGAGTTTATGAAACAGAGGTAAGTGGGTATACCTTGGCTACACTTCTTACCGTAAATGGCACTTCACTAAGCTCTAATTGCGGCCCTGCAAGCAACTTTACTTAAAAGGTGAAGAGATCACACGGGTGTTGTGTTCAAAATACAGGTTTTCAGTGTCTTTGTTGCAACACCAACAGTGGCATGACCTGATCTGCCTATGTTGTGTCAACAGGTGTTGATCACGCTCGCCAGTTCACCGGACTACAAGTTTGTCTCAGTAGGAGCCTTAGGTAGGGTCAACTCTTACGCCCCAGAAACTTTCTTCGGAGAGCACCAGCATCTGATCTTCGTACGTAAACTTCCTTCAGTTTTGCTCCTGCTGCATGTTTCCTTTTTTTTTTTTGTTAGCCCGATCCATTTTATCATTTTTTTTCTCCTCTCCATCCTCCTCTTGTTCTCTTAAAAAGTCGGAGTCACACATGTTGTATGCAGGTTTGGAGAGGGTAAATTAGACTGCGTTAAAATGGCATCCATCATACTAAAGTTTACTTTGAGAACCATAGTCAAAAAAAATTTAGCTCCTCGCAGAGCATTACTTATTTCCCCCTTCACGTGGACATGTATGTGCATTTAAGATAAGTTGTATATTTGTGGTTTTATGAAAACATTTGTTTTAAGCACAAAAGTATACATATCTTTCTATGAGAACCAAATCATCTAAAAACTACTTGCTCAGCATATGAGCGAAGCACAAAAACTTGCTTTTTTCTTGAGCTGTAAATGAGTGTGGTGACCCTACTCATACATGGAAAATTTAGCCAGTGCAGTACAGCTCTTAATCCAAGGTTTTTAGCATGTGCATCATGCAGTATTGATTACACAACCGCACACCGGTATGATGCTTATCAAGATTGAAACAGTCAAGGATCAAAAGTCTGTAATAATCCCCGGGTTCTGCAGTGCAAGGTTTCGCCTCTTTAAGATCAAATTTGCATGAGTCATTGATCCCCTTGATTGCACTTCTACGTGCACTGCAACAGGCATAAACATACTTGCAGTATTACTCAAGAAGCATTTTTTGTCACAACCTATTATGTTGGCTTAACCAAAGGCAAAGTTCAACACATGCTTCCAGTTGATCGTGAGACATATTGTGTAGGGCTGGGCATCGATTAAAAATTTTAACCCAATTAATCGACACCCTTTAATCGATTAATTAATCTATTAATCTGTTACTTTTTTTTCTGGTGTTCTTCGACATAAGGGAGTTTCTTGCGCCTTTACAATCATCCTTGCTGCACTATAGACAGACGTTCGAGAGACGTTTTAACTAGGAGAAGCATTACTTTTCTCGCGGCTGACACTATCTGAGGAATGAGGAAGCACTGTGATCGCCACCAGAGTTCACCGTTCGTCACGTCTGCTGCGGAATAATACAGCGACAGACCCAGGCTTTTTTATTGGTTTATTGGCGATTAAAGCTTTATTCAATTAATCAAGAGGTTAATCAATCAATCAATCGCCCAGCCCTAATATGTGATATTTACTTTTAATTACCATAGAATACCGTGCATCTGCCCATTCCACACTAAGCGCCCACCCCCGAAATGTTAAACAGCTGAAATAATATGCCTAGTGAATATATATGTAAAATTGATGACCTCACATGCACCCATCCCCTATTTTTTAGCGATTATCTTCCAATTTTGGGTGGGCGCTTGTTCGGTAATTTTATGGGAGGTATAAAACTTCTGAGGAGGTGTTCAAGAGCAGATTATTACTGGCTAGTACTCATTTTTTGTCTTTCAACTCATGTGTGTGCACATGAGGTGAAAGACTAAGGCCTGCCAGCTGTTTGGGAGCAAAATAAACATGAATTGCTTGATTTATTGATTGATAACAGATCAAGCCTGGGAAGTCAGCAGTGGTGTACATGCCGATTGTAGCCATGCGTATTGGCACAATCAACGTGACTGTCCTGTCGAAAACCCAGATTGCCAAAGACATGGTCACACGCTCGATTCTAGTAGAGGTGAGTGGAAATCGTGGAGTATGCTTAGGGATTGTGTGCCTTGAAGAAGGTTTTTCTGACATTTTCATTTGGTCTGCAGCCTGACGGCATCCCCCAAGCCCGCCACACTTCCCTGCTTCTAGACCTCACTCAAGGGGCCTACTTGATCAAATACCTCGACACAAATATCACCGAGACACCAATTCTGCCTTTTCGGCAGGACCGGCTTTATATTTTTGGCAGCAACAAGGCTACCCTATCAATTGTTGGTATGTATACCTTCCTCCCACTTTTTATGATGGCTATTGGCATCTTCCAAATCTTGTAACTCTTCTTAATAACCTCTAAAACCAAAGTTTCTCTAAACTATTTGATCTCGAGAGATTCTCCAACATGCTTGTTCTAAGGGTGCCCTTTGGCGTTTTTAAAGCAAGCCAGTTCACAAGTTTACGAGCTCTGCACATAGCAGAATTCCAGACACAGCTGTCTTGCACAATACATTGGTGAAACTGTTTGGCTCAAAGGCATCAGTGCATTTAGTGCTTGAACTAGTGAAGTGCTTTACTTAGGGATGGGGATCATCGGAGGGATTAGGACATTTTATGCTTGCCCATGGATACTCAAGGGGACCTGTGGGTTCCTAAACCCACTTTTAGAATCACTGGTCAATGCTCTCATTAGTTTTAATGTATAAATTGAATGTCTCATCTTTATTACCTGCAGTGGCAACCGATTGTTGCTTGTATGGCTCTAAGAAAAGTTTTAAAAGGGCTGCAGTATACTGCCACTTTTAGGTCTGATTGTATCTGTGGAAAGGAGATTGCATACAATACAATGCCTGATAGTGACACAGCTTTATTTGTAAATAAATAATAGTCACATGTTTCTATGCTAGCTTTTGCTAGTTCTTGTGGTTGAGTTCGTAAGCATGCCTCAAAGAAAGCACCAATGTTTTTTTGCTGCTAAATTTTTTTCTTTACTAAATGCTGCAACGAAAACACTGACGTTCACTTTGAGCCTCCTTAACACTAGTAGTTGCCCTTTGGGTCCACTAAACTTAGGTTCTCCATATCTGTCCTTTCTCCTTGTCTCAGGGTTTAGATTGATTCCTAACCAGCTCGTCCGCATCTCCCTCTCGCTTCCCTGGCTCTTTTTTTATGCTTGTAGTTCTGGAGTTGCTAGCTGATAAAGTTGTATGCCTGTGATCTGCTGTTGTGCAGGTGATGTGGTGGGACCGGCCTTTCCAACCATGCCTGTCAATGCCACCAGCCTCTTATCCAAGCCCTTCTACTGTGGGGAACAGAACATGTTCAGCTTTGCTGCCAACTTGTACACGTTGTTGTACTTGCGGCTCACTAACCAGCGTGACGTTTCCATCGAGAAGCAGGCCTTCAAGTACCTAAACTTGGGTGGGTGCCCGCACCTGGCATATGTTTTGTTTGCTTTCGGCTGCCCCACGTTACACTCAGCTTGGGAAGCATTAATATATTGTATTTATTCTTAGGATACCAAAGACAACTCAGTTACCAAAACAACGATGGGAGCTTCAGTGTGTTTCGGTGGCACAGCCAGCCAAGTGTCTGGTGAGTTCTACCTTTGCCTTAACTTTTTTTTAGGTATCCATGCATCTCGATGAAGCGGCTGAGCTTTCATCACAATGAATTTCATATATACACCAGGGTGTCTGCTACCAAAACTGCAGGAGGTTGGAATGCTCATGTCGTTCTTGTTCTCTCATCTGTTACTCTCTGTGTTTTCTCCTATACTGAAGCAATTCAGTGGCTGTCATAAATCTGCAGGTATTATATTTTTTCTGCCTTTGATTCATTGCACTTCAGAGGCCAAAGTTGCATTCTTGTGCATTAAAGGGGCACTGACATGCCAAAAATCATTCTTTTTTTTTTCTTTGTTGTCTAAAACAATGAAAGTTAGAAACAAAAAACAATGCGAAACAAAAATTTTTTTTGCAGGTGCACAAACCTTTTTATTTTTTTGATGGCCTTTTCTCTCTTCTCACCTCCTTGCTTCTTTTTATTTCTTACTTAACCGAATATTTATTTGTTACTTAATCAATTATGAAATTTAGAAGTGTTGTAAGCTACATTTCTATAATATTTAATAACGGCATTTGTAAAACATGTTTTTAACGCAATTGCACATGCACTATGAAATATTCTTTTGAAATATAAAAAATCACGAGTCTGGAAATGATTCGCCTCCTCGCTTTCTATCCTTCCTTGGAAAACATGGCGGCGGCGGACACCCGTAGCAGTGAGGGTGATCGGGGAGTCGGGGAATCGAGCCAAGTTCTCTGTTTGGTAGACTTACCTCTGGCCTTGGATGTTTTGCTTTGTGTGATGTGACCCGCTGCGGGAAGTTAGTCGGAAGAACACCACACCTCCAATCGAGGTACCATTTGAACCCCCAACGTTCTAGAGACGCTCACCTCACCTCATAATCCTTGTGGACAAAGTGTCGAGAACAAAAAAAAGGATTTCAATCCAAAACCCTCCAGTAGTCCTTCAGGAATGGCGGCTAGCCAGGCCGCCTTCTCTGACGCATTCTATGGGAACCTGTACAGCATACTTTCGATTGCGACCCCCGCTGCGGGGCAGCCTTTCACGCAGCACCAGCAGGACATGGCCCCTCATGTCACTCACTCACTTAGGGAACCTGTGCACGTCTTCTTTGACCTCGCACCGTTTCAAAGAATTTGCAGTTGCTGAAAGGGCCCTAAAAGAACTTCAAACTCGAAAGTGAAGTGTTGTCTGCTCACAGGAGTAGGCAGCATGCAAGGAGAAGCATGGTTGATCTGGCGAACACAACACTTCCGGTTGGGACCCAGCCGGAGAAAAACTTGAGTTACAGGACAACTTTGACAGTACTGCACTGGCGCAGGAACTTCAGATTCGGCTTTTGGATATTGTGTTTTTTACTTCACGAATACTGAGTTCCCAAGCTTCGAATTTCGAGGGTAATGTCCAGACATTGTTTTCAGCCGCTTCAGATAATTAAAAAAAAATTATTTTGACCTGTCAGTCACCTGTCAAATCATCATAAGCATTGGAAGAATATGACTAAATATGGTCATCCAGTAATCGTAGTGGTTTCTGTGGAAGTATATACAGGGTGTTTGATTTAATTCAGACATTTATTTAAAAAGAACCGTGAAAGGTAGACTGATGCAGCCTGTGCGGGTGAGTTATACGGCCATATAGCGTAAGGGGCTAATCCTCGCGATAAGTGGAATAATTAACTAAACTTTGTTAATAACCTTTTTAATTTTTGCAAATAAACATATGGTTTTAATTAGAAACTTGCTGAGCATCATCTAAAACCACTGAATCAGTCAATTTTAGAAGGAATTTGAAGCTAAAGTTTCCACTGGCGATCGAAAAAATGTGGATGAAAAAAACTATCATCCGCGGTTCCGAACCCCCACATGCTTCGAATCTCTCTAAACTTGACACTTTCAATGACACTCAGCAAGTTTCTAATTGGAAGCATACTATGTTTCTAATTGGAAGCATACTATGTTTTTAATTGAAAGCATACTATGTTTATTTTCACTAATTAAAAAGTTAATTGACAAATCTTAGATAATTAATTCGATTTGCTGCTTTCACAAATTGAAAACTTAATTTTTTGATTTGCTGCTTTCACAAATTAAAAAGTTTATTGTCAAATTTTAGTTAATTATCTGACTTGCTGCAGTGGTGAAAGAAATATTTCCTGTTTAGTTTGAGAGCCGCGTTTGATTTGATCAGATCCTAAAATTTCATCTCGGTATTCCGCATTTAAAGCATAGAAGTTATATGTGGGTATGAGCATTTCTAGGTGGCCTCCTGAAGCATGACATGACATTGGAGGAGCACACTGTTTCCCCCTTTATTGTGTGTTCCTGCCTGCATGATTAATGGTGAGAACACACAAAATGGCTGGATTTCATAATAAACTTTTTCCCCCTTTTATTTTAGGTTTTGACATGAGATGACAGATTGACAAATGTTGTAAGGAAATTATGACATGTGTTTCAAGTGCACCAACATTTGTCTTTGCAGGCTAACATCCTTTTGCGCCCGTGTGTTTCACAAGGCAACGTTTCAGGAGTGGGAGCACTTTCTGTACATAGATCCCACCATCATCCAGAAGGCCATAGGGTGGCTACTAGACCGCCAATCTCCCGAAGGCTCGTTTCACGAAACATCCTTTTTCGCCTATGACCGCAAGATGTCTGCTTCGGTAGCTATCTGTATTCTCATTTTGTATGTTACAGAGATTGACAAGTGTGCTTCTCGATTCGTCAGAATAACTGAGACCTGTTTTTTGTCCTCTAGTCGGAGAATCCCGATGATCCGGTGCGCTTCCGCAACGTGTCTCTAACCGCGCACGTGCTCATCACACTGGCCGAAGTTAGGGATATCCGAGGAGTGAGTTCCGTCCCAATTGCATCCCGCCTCCCTTGTTCGCACTCAAGTGTAACACCGAGTGTGCCTGGCATTGTTGCACTTCAGGAAATCGGCTCAAGGGCAGCCACGGCCCGCAGGTCAGCTGCACGCTACCTGGAGCGCATGCTGCACGATATCGAGAAGTTGGAGGACCCTTACGAACTGGCCATTGTGGCGTATGCGCTCACCCTGGTCAACAGCGTGGAAGGGGAGACCGCATTCAACCGACTGAGCGAGAAGTTGAGAGAGACAAGTAAGGGCCCCTAGATACACTAGCTGGCCTAAGCTTCCACGCTTTTCACTGTACCCCGCGACCCTCGTAAGCTCGTGAATTTATTGGACTGAAGCTCGAATTACAAGTTAATAGAAGGTGCAGTCACGTGATCAGAAGGGGGCGGGGAGGGGTGGGGCAGGGCAGGCGGCAGGCAGGGGGAAGCTTGTTTTTCCAAATGCCTCATGCGCTACCCCCTCCCCCCCCTCACCCTCTGGAAATACCTGCATCTGCCCCTAGATGTGATTGCTGTGCCAAACTGCACCAAAGTGCTTACACTGCTACACCCTGCACAAGCTCCGCTACACGGCCGGATCGTTGCGGTAGACTTGTTTGAACTTTCAGAACTTTCAACTATTGCCTTATATAACATATTACTCGGTTTCATGTCTGCATTGAACACTGACAGTACTCGATGAAGTTTCATGGTCTGTTCTGGCGTGTTATTCAGTCTCGTTGAGTGCGCTTCTCGTCGTCCACTAGTGTTGTGCAGTGAAGTCACAACCGTGGCGTAGGCTTTGCGATTTTGCATGTATTGCTTTTCTGCAGCGCACCGTAGTGCTAAGTGGAAATCATCCCCCAAGGGAGAAATATGCAGGCGTCGTGTATATAAAAAGAAAAAAAAAAGGAGGAGCTTGGTAAGTGTTGATGTCATAACTCTACCTTGCAGTAAAAATTTCTGCGGCTAGCATATAGACACTTTACACACATACCAGATCAGAGCCACCATTACTGACTTCTCTTGCCTCTCCGAGATGCCAAGCTACTGAAGTGGGCATTGACGAGCCTCCACAAAGGCCTATGCTGGGGAGAACACAGTAGAATCTAAAAGGGCAATAACTTGTCTTCTTGTGGTAATCATGATGTGCAGTGAACGGAATAAGATCGAGGAAACAAAACCTGAAGGGTGGGTGTGGCATCACCCTTGCACAGCTGCTACAACACCTATATGATAGACAGCGATGCTCTGACAATATCTTTTTCAGATTCAAGATTTAGCAAGGACACTTGGGTAATGTGTAGGGTGACCACCCGTCCCGCGACTCTCGGGACTATCCGGCATTGAGGGCTTGTGTCCCGCGTCCCGCAAGAAATATCAAAATCTTCAAAATGTCCCGCATTTGTCACTGTGGTAAAATTCACTACGCAACTCATGGCGCTGACGAACAACGGGGCACGGGGAAGAGCGGAGATTCCTGGTGAACGATGTGTGAATCGCGATGGTACAACAGTTTCTATCCAAGCGTAGCGGGAAGTGACCGTCGTTCTTGCAGGAGAACTGACGCGCATGCGCCATTGTGCCTCCCTTCCCTTGGTGGAAAAATATTGCAAAAAAACATTGCTCACCAAAAGTTAAAAATAAATTATTTAAATTATTTTCAAATCGTGCTGTGTCAATGCAAAAAGATTGCTGTAAAAAACTTTTTTTTTTTATTGAAAACGACTAAATAAGGCAAGAAAACTACGACTCAAAACGGTCAAAAATAACAACATAAGGTTCTTAATTTGCATAGGAAAATGTTTGAAAAAATAAGAATCGACAGGAAACCAGAAGCCTTAAAAGATTTACTGCTTCTTCTATCCTTCCGATGCATTGAGTTCTGCTGCTGTCGATTTTATGTTTTCAGCTTAGGCCCTTTGGTCAGCATATATGGCATGAGAACTTGAAATATATCACTGGGAGTGAAAACTATTAGTTTAATTGCCGCAATGCAATTTTCAGCTGTATAATATGCTTTCGGTCAAGACAGGATATTAAATGCGTTAGCAGAACCACATTTCGTGGCGTGTGTTGATAAATTTCCTCGAATTGTTCGTTTTTTTCTGTTATGCTTTTTTTTTTCTTTTTTTAACCTGAGACTGGGGCAGAAGGTAGAAACAAATGTTTCCTCCTCCTGCTCCAGTCTTGAGTTTAAAGACACCATGGTGAATTTCCACCAGTCCGACTGTACGCTAAGCTCATTTTTGCAGTTGCCACAGTCAAAATATAATACTGTTCTTCTCTTACAACCCCCCCCCCCCCCCCCCCCGCCCCGTCCCCGTTTCCCGCATTTCGCTAGCGGGAAGGTGGTCGCCCTAGTACAGTGTAGACCGCATATAACGTATGTCGCAGGAGTCGCGAAACTCCGCACTATAAGCGGTACCGCGCTATAACCAAAACATCAATTTTTCGGGCCAAAATACATGCCATGAGACAACTTACCTTTGTAAAACAATTTATTTAATGTTAGATGAAAAATAAAGCTTAGTTTGAGGAAAGTCTTTATTTCACCAGACTAGTACACTTCTCTCTCAAGTGTGTCACGCATTTTGAAAGAAATGAGCGACTTTTGCCTGGCACAGCCTTTTAACGGCGTCGCGGGTTGCGGACGGACGTTGCGAGCGTTCAGGATTGCTAACCCTAATCACTTTTCTCCGGCAATGAAAACGCTTGAAAATTCGCATCCTTTATACGGTACGCGCCAGTAATACCTTCAACTTGAGCACAGTCATGAAATGCTCCAAATAAGAAATCCGGGCGATGTTCGAAAACACAAATGCTTAAAAAGTACCACTGTAGTTGAAGTAAACAAACACGACGACACGGGCGTTTCTGCCGTCTTGAGAGTGCTGCCATGACATCGCCGCACGAGTAGGTGAATCTTCCCTTCTAGTACGTGCTGGGCTATCATAGCGACGCACGACGAAAATTCACAGTCAAGGATAGCACTTTTACGCGGAACGATAAGCTTCCACCACGCCGTCTACGTCGACGATCACAACCGACGCCATGTTTGCGGATAGAAGAAGCCGCCTTGCGACCGGTATGCAACGCGCGCGAACACTTCTCCTCGACTTGCGATTGGTCTGTTGTTGCGGTTTTCAACGCAGCGGAGGGACGCACGCACGTGAACGACACGTGCGTGCATCCCTCCATCGCTATGGCCACTGAAGCTTCTCCCCGCTTCTCTGAGCAACCTTCTTGCCCTGCGAGTGCCGCTTGGGCTAGTGCCGTGCGCCGTTATCTTGGTTATCTACTGTCACACAGAGAAGCGTGCTCGCTGCGCCGGTTGGCGCGGTCGGCGGGCTGTTTCAGAAACCGCATTATAACCGGTATTTCCCTTTGCGCGCCTGCATTTTAAGCGGTATGTAATTACATGGAGTTCTATTGGAGGCGAACCGGTGGTTTAAAAAAGCCGCATTATACCCGGTCCTGCACTATAAGCGGTTACGTTGTAAGTGGTCTATACTGTATTGTGAGACGATATGGCTTGCTCAATAGGGTTATTTGTTTATATCAATTCTCTTATTTAGTTATCAGATTTATATAGGTTCCATCTGATCAATGACATTACCAGTATAGTAAGTTACACCAACTAGATCAGCTGGAGCAGTGGATGGAAGCTTGGGAATAACCCTAACGCTTTCGAATGGATATTTCTCAAAATGTGTATTTATTGTTCACAAGCCGATGTTTGGTATCATGTTGACATTAGACATACAAAATGTCTAAGGTTTATAATGTAATTGCGAAAGCTTTTTCTTTTTACCTGAATTAAGAATTGCAGTTTTATTGCAACCTTTAGGGCTTGAATGAAATATCAATTTGGGTGCTCAAAAATGCTTCTATTCTGACAATATTTCAGTGGAATCTACTATTTGGGTGACCTTTGATTCCATACCTAAAATAATCATTCACTGTCCATACTGTCCTTCACCAATTAGCAGCTCGTTGCCGTGCCTGGTGTTTCTATGCACAATGAAATGGCTAATGTCGGTGACAGGTTAAGAGTGCAGGACAAGCTTCTCCCATAAAGCCGTCCACACTTCCAACTTTAGCAGAGCAAAATGGTGGACATGCCTCCTCTCCAGCGTCTCCAACTATCTCCGGCTATAGGAGGGAATCAAACCTTCCACGCAATTGATGCTAATTGTTGCATAGAAGTGGGAAGGCAAAGTATACTCTGTCTTTTAGTTGGATATGATTACGCATGAATCTGATCATAATGTTTGCAGTGGCACGAATGAAAATTAAGTGTGTGCTATGCTCCAAAAGTTATTTTTGCTGCTTCAAAGTAGGCCCTAGGCTGCTCCGAGAGGTGCTCCAAAAGGGCTCTTACCAATCACATCACTAAAGGTGTCTGTGACACACAAGGACATTTTAAACAAATGTCTATGCTCACAAGCAGTGCATTAACACAAGGTTTGTTGAGTGGCATTAGTGGAAAGGATGAAAAAACTTTTTTTCTCTGACTTTTCTAGGTAAGTTCACTTATCTTATGGTGATGGTGGTATGAGCGAAATCAATTTGTGAGCAGTGCCGTTGTGTACTCAAAGTGCAGACAAGGACACTCTTGTGAATGACCAATGTTGTGGCGTTGGTACGTGCAGGCGGCATGAGGTACTGGTCTCGCAGCGACCTGCCGGCGCCTCCTGTCCTCATAGAGAACAACCGGCCCTACCTGTACCCGCGCCTGCCCTTCACGAACGACGCCTCCAACGTGGAGACCACATCCTACGGGCTGCTGGTGCACGTGGCTCGTCAAGCGGTCGTGCAGAAAGAGATTGTCGAGTGGCTCAACACACAGAGGCTCTCGCACGGTGCCTGGGCGTCCACTCAGGTTGGATTCTTCTTAGACTTCCCAGACTTTGATGGTCACGTGATCTCTGCTTTCTCTCGTAGAGCTTGGAAAATGTTTACTGTGTGCATACTACATGCTTATTGGAAGCCTCTAACTTTCCAATATTCTTTGCAGGACACCCTGATGGCGATGCAGGCACTGACCGAGTTTTCGGTGCAATCTCGCTCGAGGGATGTGACGGATATTACGGTTACTGTTGAGGCCCCCTCCACTCCGGGCTTCACCAGGCAATTGCACATCGGCAGGGACAATCTGTCCAAGCTGCAAACACTCTCTGTGAGTTGGTTCCTTTTATGCTCTTGTGTGTTCCTTGTTTAAAACTGGGTTTTCTATATTCTTTTCATTTGAAGCATGAGGTGATAAATAGCTTCCATTGAGAGAATCTCCCATAGCTTGTGGCAATCTCTGCCACTGTGATGTTCCCAGATGGTGTTCTACTTCTGAGAGTTACAACTTTTTTTCTACATGCGACTGTTGCAGATCCCCAATGCTTGGGGGGTCATAATCGTGAGGGCACAAGGGTCTGGCCTGGCCATTGTTCAGCTCCATGTGGAATACAACGTTGACACTTGGAGGCATCTGGTGACGCAACCCCCAGTGCCTGCATTTGCGCTCAATATTCGGCAGAATTCTTACGGGAGGAACAGCTCTCACGTCGCCTTCCGATCGTGCCAAAGGTTGGTACGCCTCGTCAGAGTTTAGACAGCTGTATCTGTCTTATCAATTAAGCATCTTAGAAATTACCTATGCCCTGTTGCAGGTTAAGCAAAGCAGGATAAGCTCCCCCCACGAAGCCCTCCGCCCTTTGCACTTAGCAGAGTGAACGCCCGAGAGGAGACAAAACGAGGCGAGGAGGGACTCACCTCTTCTCTGGTGCTCGCTCTGCTAAGCGGAAAGGGTAGAAAGTTTAGTGGGAGGAACTTGACCTACTTTTTTTTAATGGACCATGCAACGATTTATGCAGAATTTTACTGACCGCATATTGTTTATGGGATCGAAAGAAAATAGCATGCGAGATAGGAAGTCTAGATCCTAATTTTTTGCATTAAATTCTGGCAAATAACAGTGGACTATATCTTACACTCTCTTTCTCGAATGCTCGCAATGAAGCTTAGTGCATGAATAAATGGATTAATAAATGAGTTGTGGAGAAACTTTCTGTAATGGGCGTTAGCTTGCACCACCTAGCAAGGTAACTGCAACATCCACAATGTTGGAGTCTTTTTACCCATTTTTTTCAAATACAGTATAGATCACTTATAACGTAACCACTTATAGTGAAGGACTGGATATAGTGCGGCTTTTTTCAACTACCGGTCCGCCTCCCATACAACTCTATGTAATTACGTACCGCTTAAAATGCAGGCGCGCGAAGAGAAATACCAGATATATAGTGCGGTTTCTGGAACAGCCTGCCGACCGACCGGCGCAGCAAGCACGATTCCCTGTGCAACACCAGATAACGGCACAAGCGGCACTCGCAGGGGCAAGGATGGCAAGGAGGTTAAGTGGAACAAGCGAGGAGAAGCAAAGAGAGAGGCGAGAAACAAATGACGATGCAGCGGGTTACAACACAGTGAGGTGCAACACACGCACACACACGCTCAACTCCAAAAGCCCCAACGAGCCTCCCGAGCCTTTTGCCCTTTCGATCTCAACCCCTCGCTCGAGTGACGCAAAGACAACCTCATTTTTTACACCGCGCGCAAAACGAAGGCTGGATAGCTGGATAGTTCCTAGTTTCGCTTCTTGCAGCTTGATAGCTTGCTCCACATCTGTTTGGACCGCGTGTGGACCTTGTCAAGCATATTGTGCAGAAATCGATCGTCCATCGCCGCTCTGTCCCTGTCTCCCTAACCCAAGGTGGCCAAGAAACGACAAGCCTTGTCTCTCGAAACTAAACAGAGCATTGTCAAAGATGTTGAAAGTGGCATGAAAAAAGCTTCCGTCGCGGCCAAGGACAACGTCGCTGACACAACGGTTTCTAATGTCTGGAAGCAGCTACAGCAACATTCTGCGTCGCTCTCAAGAAAGAGGATTCATACGTCAAAGCATCAGGACGTCGACGAAGCCTTATTTAGGTGGTTTCACGAAGTGCGAGCCAAGAACGTCCCAGTGAGTGGCCCGATGCTACAAGCGAAGGCTAGGTCCTTTGGACATTTGTTAGAACACGAAGGCTTCAACCCCATCAACGGATGGATCCAGCGGTTTAAAGACCACTACGGGATTAGCTGCAAAGTCATCTCGGGCGAAAGTGGGGAAGTCGACGACGCCAGCATCCAGGCGTGGTTTCACATTCATCTCGAAACGATTCTTTCCGCGTACACAGACAAAGATATCTATGATGCCGATGAAGCTGGTCTGTGCTAGAACATGCTTCCCGATGGACTCTCGCAATGAGAGGTGAACTCTGTTCCAGCCGCAAAGTCTCAAAGGAAAGTGTCACGGTTTTGTTTGGTGTAAACATGGACGGCTCCGACAAGCGGCGCTTGTTTGTCATCGGGAAATCAAAACAACCCCATTGCTTCAAGAAGCGAGAATGTCTGCGTGTGGTGTACACAGCAAATGGAAAGGCCTGGATGACCCAGCAGTTCTTTGCTAGTTGGCTGAAAAGTTTCGATGAGGCCATGGTCGTGGAAAAACGGCACATCGTTCTTATCCTGGACAGCTGCAGCGCTCACAATCTGCAGCCCCAATTAAGTGCAGTCAGTTTGAAGTTTATGCCGGCAATCACCACTGCTAAAAGCCAGCCTCTCAATCAGGGTGTCATCGCTTAAGGCGCTCTACAAAAAGCGCATGTGGGAAAGAGTCGTCTTGAAATTGCAACGGGAGGAACCGATCAAGGTAGACTTGAGGGGCGCCATCGGCATGATCACCGCGTCATGGTGGCATGTAAAAGCCACAATCATCCAGAAGTGTTTTCGCAACGCAGGGTTTGTGCACGATGCCGGGAATTCGGAGGATGCCGATCGGCGTAGTGATGCGATTGACGAGGCGATCGGCGCGGACTACGTGGGGTCCGACCTTGTGGAAAACCACTTTGTTCCTGCAAACGACACGTTTCAAAACTATGTAGATGAGGATGACAATGAATCTGTACTCTGTTATCCGTGAGGAAGCAACCACCGATGAAGCTATTGTTGCAGCAGTGTGAAATTCTGGATCGAGTCCACCCAAAGATGAGTCGGACGACGACGAAGAGAGCACGCTGGAAGTTTCGAGTAAAGATGACGCACAGGAATTCTTATCGAAACTGAAGGTTCACTGTGAGCAGAACTCCTTCAGTGATGAGGTGTTCAAATGTCTTATTTATCGGAAACCAGGTCGTTCGCAACGCCGTTAAAAGGCAGTGCCAGGCAAAAATCACTACAGTCTAAGCTCGTTATAAGAGACCTTGATTTTGACCAAGATTTCGGTCTGTTGTTAAAGGAGTATGTTGTATGCAGATATGAAGTCGAGTCACTGGTACATTGAGGAAAACCAACCGAATTTCGCAAATCGGTATGTTATATCCAAATGTCTGTTGTAACCAGGTCTGTTGTAATGAGCTTAGACTGTAATTTCTTTCAAAATGTGTGACACGCTTGAGAAAGGAACGTACTAGTCTAGTGAAATAAGAACTTCCCTCAGACTGAGCATTATTTTTTATCTAACATAAAATAAATTGTTTTACAAAGGTAAGTTGCCTCATGGCATGTATTTTGACCTGAAAAATTGGTGTTTTGGTTATAGCGCAGTACCGCTTATGGTGCGGATTTTTGCGACTTCCGTGACACATTATTTGCAGTCTACACTGTACATCAGTCGAATTTAGTTTCCGTATTGGATACTAGTTGTAGGTTGTAGATGAATACCCTCGACGGAAATGACAGAGTTCAATATCCGGTTTCATAAGTCGCAGCGTCAACGAAAGAATGAAAGCTTCCTCCACAAGAAATTCTATTAGGAATTTATATTACTTTGTTTCTAGCGTTTAGTGTTCACAGCCGAAATGTGAACCTGCCATTCTGTACTGAGTAATCGCCACTCCTCCTCGGCCGGTTTTGGCGCCGAACTGCTACAGCCTTCGCTGGGTGAGTTCTCGTTTTGCTGCGTGGGTGTCCCGGCGTACGAAACACAGCCCATACTTTCACTATATTGAAACATTTGAATTAAGTTGCACTTCACTCAGCTGCGACCAAAGCCATATCTATGGCGTTGGTCGCTCAAGCATCGCAGACCAAGTTCTACGAAGCAATTGGCGTTCATGAAAACCTCAGAAAGTGAGGTCGTTTTGACGCAACACGACGTTTGACTGACACAGCTCTCTCGCTCGGCTAGGAGAACTTCCGTTTTCGGCAGAAAGGCATATTTTACGTCAGGGCCACGTTATTTCACATGTTGGTGGCCGAGTTCGGTCTAATCAAGGAGGAAAGCAGACGTGAGTTTTCATCTTTTTTTGGTGGAAAACTGGAGGCAATAAAACAAAAATGAATTCCTGCTCAGGGTTCAATGAACATTGAAGATTAATTGGGGTCTTCATTTGGAAAAAGCTGCGAAATCATTTCGTGGTCCCTTTAACATGCAACAGAGCATAGTGTGAATTTTAAGGCTAACATTATTGTTTTCATCTAGATGGGTATTTGTGCGTAGTAGCGTAGCTAACCATTTCGTCGCATTAATTGCTTTTTTGTCCTGGAATAGGTTTATGGCAAAGTAGAAATTACCAGTTACTAGACAACGCTGTCTCTGTGCTTTTTTCCACATAGCTTGAACTGACAATCATACAAAATCTTTTTTGGTGTAATAAATGTAATTTCTGCTGCAATATATATATATATATATATATATATATATATATATATATATATATATATATATATATATATATATATATATATATTAAGAGATGCAGTACACACTTTGGAAAGTGTTTTTTTCTAAATGTAATGAAGTGCAAATGGTTGCGAGTTATCTAATTCTTTTTTTTTTCTCGGAGTGCTGATGTCTCATTTGCTTGTTCACTGTTTTTTTTTCTGTCTTTTCAAGCTGGATTCGTACAGAAGAGAGCCCCAGAAGTGGCATGGCAGTCCTTGAAGTGAATCTGCCATCAGGCTACTATATTCAGCAGCAGACTCTTGATGCATATGTTCAGTCCAGCAATGTGCGCAACCTTCGAGAGGCCCGCTACCAGGAGAAGAAAGTCGAGATCTACTTCGACTATGTATGTATCTGCACCCACTTCACTGACATTTGCAATGCCGACTTTGTTATTATGTACTACAATAATGTTTTTATTTTTTTTCCAGCTGGACACTTCACCCATTTGTGTCAATTTCACGGCGCAGCGATGGTATCCTGTTGCCAACATGACGAGGTTCATCTCTATTAGAGTGTATGACTACTATGCACCAGGTATGTTGGGATTAGACAGGTACTAAAAACTACAAAAAGTCATGTAGAAAAAAAAAAAGACACAAAAAACATGGACAGGCCTAGTGAAAATAAACATGGTTATAATTAGAAACTTCATGAGCATTATCGATAACCACTAAATGAACTCATTTTAGAAAGATATTTTTACAGGTTCATTAGTGAATTATTTCCTTAATTTGAGGTGTGTTTTTTTGCTTTTTTTTTCGCAATCCACGACGTCCATTGCGGTTGGCAGTTTGTCCCTGTAAAGGTTTTCTTTTTATCTTGACCACCCTCTTTTTGCGGATTTTTGCAAGTCATCGCTGAAACACCCAGTGTAAACATATATAATGTGGATAGAGGTTTGGTATGTCGGAGTTCCTTTCATTTTCAATCATGGAATTTTGAGCTTGGGTACTCGTCTGATAAATCACATCCTTCATCATTTGTGGTGTACGCGATGTAGCCACTTTTATTCAAATGGGATTACTAATTCTAGGTTGAAATCTTGATGACCTTTTTTTTCTTTTGGTTTTTGTTGCAGAGCGCTTCAATGAAACCATGTTTGAGCTGTACAACCTGTATGCTCTGAGCATATGTCATGTGTGTGGTTCCTACCAGTGCCCCTACTGCCCAGTCTTCAGTGCTGGCCGCTCCCACTTCCAGTTGATTGAGCAGCGAGTCCTGCTTTTCTGTGTTGCTTTTTTGACATTGCTGCACAGGTACCTCCCCAGCGGATAGTTGTTCATCACGGGGACTGTTGGACATTTTGCATTATCCTCAACTGCAGGAACAAGCTCCTTCAAGTGATATCTGGACAGTAGTGCAACTAGCCGTGACCAGGCTCATACTGTGCAGTGCCATTGTGAGCTTCATGCTACGTTGCAGGGACGGGAAGTGTCCCCTTCCCCCACCCAGTTCAGCAAGGTCGAGGAGCCCAAAAACTCATTTGGGCTTGTGTTCCGCTACATTTTTTCTGTCTTTGGTGTTGTTTTCATTGGTGCCCCTACACCTTGTTTGTTTGTTCTTTTTAGCTCATGTGTTTAATTGGCAGCTGCTTACAGAAGTTCTGACTGCCATTTTTTAAGTCTTGCTTTTAGGTGAGCTGCAGTGCAGCTGATTGCGTCAAAGCCAATGATTGTATGTGTCTTCATTTTTGAAAGAGTGTTCGAAGTAATTATGGAAAGGATGTGACATATCTAAGCAAGAGTGACTTCGTGAGAGTGTTTTTATTTTATTCCTGGAGGGGCCTCTCCAGCCTCTAATGGTTTATTCAGTATGACTTTGAATAAACAAAATTTTAAGCTGGAGCCGCCTGTTACATCTAAGTCGAACTCATCTATAACGAACTCCGTCGGACGCGTGTATTAGTTCAATATATTGGGTAGTTCGCACCTGATATCTGTTTTCAAGAGAGATATGATATTTCTCCTGCTACATAAAATACAAACGAAACTAGCGCAACCATACGGAAATGCGCCATCCACCTCGTGCTAGCCGAATGAGGGTGACAAAGGAGAACCAGCGAAACTTGCAGAGCCGCAGCTGTGTCGCACGTGCTTTTCGACAGGAGCTCCACTGGCACCACCACCTGGGGAGCCGAAGAGTCCTTCCCAGCTAGCTTCCCCCTGGTAATGTAGGAGGGCGCAAGCGGCCACCCTTCCAGTGGTGGGGATACATTTTCATGGGCCAAGCACTCTCATTAACAATAAGATTCATATTTGTTGGCGTAGCACACAAAAGTCAGACAGGAAAGAGACCTAGCAATAAAGCTCTCACAGAGTGGCTGCAAAGATGCAAACGACGCACACACTGATCTCGACCTTGTGCATCTATCTGTCTACATGTCCAAGATGCAAACGACGCACACATTGATCTTGACCTCCTGCATCTATCTGTCTACATGTCCCTAACCTCATTTTTTTTTTTTTTAATAAATGAGATGGGCATTTGTACGCTTTCTAAGCTCGCATGTTCTAACGGAGTTCGATATAGACGATCAGTTGTTCGTTGCAGAAGTGCATTTTTACATTTTATAAGCGAGCTCGATTACCATGCTACACTTAACATGATTTATGGAATCTCATTTTTGAGAGGCGCCAATGAGTCTTGTGTTTGGGAGTTCATCATTGTAGTGGCATTTGTTTCAGACATTTCTGAACCTGTTGGAGCAATAATTGTATGTACAGAGAATACAGCAACCTCTTGGAGAACATCTGTGAGTGACCAGATAAACCTTTCAACCAAAGTATATGGTGTCTAGTCTATTTACAGCTATTAGATTTTGCGATTTGGTAATTCAGAATCAAGCTAAGTGATGTTTATGTTTCTTTCAGACTTGTGCTATCTCGGCATTTGTTGGACACCGATGTTTTAATATGCCTATACTTAAGAGCCTGTGTGTTTCCAAGCTCCCCCTAAACTGGTTTGGAGGCTGTCGTGATAATACATCTCGTGTTCTCTCTAAAACAAAGGTAGTGGCTAACACCAAAGCGTTTTTTTAATATATATTATATATTGGTTCGTACGCGAAAGAAATAGACGATTGTGATAGCGAAGAAAACGAAAGAAGCAGCGATTCGTCAATAAATTTGCAATGTTGAAGGTTTCTCCTGCAAAAGTTTAGCGCATGGATAGCTTTTTTTTCTCGCATTCCCTCCAGCTGTATAGGTAAGTGTACTTTCTTTTTAATGCGAAAGCATTAATTGTCCCATGGAGTGGAGCCGGCGTTGTCCGTAACCGCGAGAAACGGCAGAGAAATTCCCTCCGCCGGACAGCTAAATGGCTGCGACGCGCCGGATCGGCTGGGGCCCGCGCGCCGCGGCACCGGCGGGTCCATCGCTCTCCACCCTCCGCAGAGGCTGCTCGGCCGGTCTCTGCGGAGGATAGCGGGGAGCGCAGCTTGTAGGAATACGCTACGCATACGTATGCTTTAGCGTTCCTACACGTAAGCTGTCTCAAGTGTCCTCCTGAAATTTTTTTAATTGGTGTGATCTTTTTTTCATGAGACAGGTTAGCCCGTTGAGTACACTTCTTACCGAACACCGTTGCAATGTGGGGAAGCAACACCCGCGGAGCTCCCGTCCGCGGGTGTGGCTTCTCCGCGGTGCTTGGTAAGAAGCGCACTCAACGGGGATAACCCGCCGCGATTAATACTTTAAAAAGTACAAATACCTTAGCCGCGTGCCTAAGAGGAAAGCTCATTTCCAAAGTGGCATTTGTGCTCATGTACGCCTGGTGTATTTAAAAAGAAGCTGAAACTTCGTGAATGTTAGGGGAGGGGGGTGCAATGATTTCCGGACTTCGGTCAAAAATTTGTGGAAGTTGCCCTCTGACACTTCTGATGTAAAGAACAGAAAACCGATTTCGCCTGCGTGTCCTAGAAGATTGGCGTTTCTGGCACCCTTCAACTCACTCCCAGCCCTCATGGTCACACCTAGTCCCCCTCCTAGTGACGTAACTCGGGGTGCCGTGTAGTTTACGGTGTGCTCCCTCTCTCTGCTGACATTAGAGCCGAGCGAGGTCACGTAATCTTTTCACCGCAGCTCCCTCGGCTGCCACTAGCGGCTGCAGGTGGCAATCGCAAAGGAAAAGTTCGACTTTTCCTTTGCGATTATACAGCGAAATCGCGACATTTTTTAATGAAGGAGATGTTTTCTCTATCCTTCGGGACACGATAAATAACGTAAAAATGACGGCCTACGGATCCCCATGTGGCGGGTTCGAATCCCGGCCGAGGTGCCCGCAATCTGACGGAGGCTTATTGCGGAGAAGGCGCCGTGTAACCGAGCTTTCGGTTGTACGTCAAAAGATCCCCAGGTGGTCCAAATTAATCCTCAGTCCTCCGCTGGGGCGTGCCAGATGCCCATCGTTGGTTTGGCACGTGAAACCCCCAAATTTGGCTTTTGACGAGATGCAATTTCTTTTAATCTTAAAATATTTGGATTTCAAAAAAGATGTAGGCGGGACGCTACAATACCTACAACACTACTCGTAAGGCGATATCTCGAATGGACGGCCGTATTTTTGGAAAAAGAGGTCGAGATTGAACAAGGCCGACGAGGCGCGTGATGTGAGAAATCTCGTTTCCTCCTCTCTTCGCTTCGCTCCCTCAAGGCGGCGAGGCGGAGAAGACGCGAGGCCGTTCCCTCTCCTCGAAGAAACAAGACGTAAACATACCTGTCAAATGCGCCTCCTTTTTTTGAAAAATACGGTCATTCGTTCGAGATATCGCTGTATGAGTGATGTTTTGGTGCTTGTAGCATCCCGTTGCACGCTTTTGCCGCCGTGATTTGTGGAATCCAGATTTCGGTTCAGCATCCGATTGAAGACTATAATATTTGCATATAGCAAGAATATGTACAAATCCACTTGACGAGGTATAGCTGAGCATCTCTAGAGGTTTAATTTTCTGTCAAATGTGGTTTTCGTTTAAGAAAAACTTTGATTCAAAGTAAAAAATCTTGGCGTCCAGAAAAGATCTTGATGTAGAGCTGTAGGTTAGAATATATCTGTATATGTTTTCATCTAGATGTTGTTTTCTATACGTCTGATCACTATTGACAAGAAGGCAATGTATAAAAAAAATGTTTTGAAATGGCTTAAAATTGTTTTAGTTGAAGAAAAAAAAAGTTCTCAAATGCACCAAGCGGCTCCGGCGAATCTTCCCCGCGACATCGACCTGTTTCATGCAAGAGGTTTTAATTTGGAATGCTATCAAGCTGCAACTTCAGTTTTCCGAGACCCCGTGCATGCCGACTGAAGGCATCGTTACCTTCACAGAGCCGTCCGAGAATGATGACTCGGCAATATCAAACCAACAAATGTAGAAAGAACACTGTCACACTGAAACCAAAACTGACTGGCCAGAACTAAAGCCCCCTGATGTGAAAATACGGTGAGAGTGCAGGCGAGCTGGTGGTAGCTAATCATGTCGTATTACACCTGAGACTGCGGTGGAAGAAATCGGAAGAACTTTCAGTAGAAGGAACAGACATAGAGAACGTCTTGAGACGTTCTCTATGTCTGTTCCTTCTACTGAAAGTTGAGACGTTCTCTATGTCTGTTCCTTCTACTGAAAGTTCTTCCGATTTCTTCCACCGCAGTCTCAGGTGCAATACGACATGATTAGCCCCCTGATGTGTTTGTCCTACAAATGGCGACAAATTCGCCAACGCGCGGATCCTCGCGATACATTTACAGCGTGGGATGGGACGCCTTTTTGGAAAGTCGTCGGGACGCAGTCACAGGACCACCTGCGTGCCCCTCGCCCTTACCTCGCCCCAGATGCCTCTTCAGAGGCAAAATCTGCAGCCTCTTTGCAAGCGTTCCTTGTCCGATTGGTGGCCGTCGCAGTTGTGTATGCGTGAAACGGCATAAGTTTGTTCGAAGCTATAATGGCTGTGTTCGACCCAAAGTGTTAATAAGGAATTCTTCACCAAGAGAGTATCGACGTAGAAACAATTCCGAGGGTGACCAGACGTCCCGTTTTGGCCGGGACAGTCCCGTTTTTGAGGTCCGCTTCTGCCGTCCCGTCTTTTTGTCCCAATAAAAAAAAAAAAAAATCATGTCCTGTTTTCGCAGACGCGAGTTGAAGCAAACCGAAACTATGCCTAATCGCAAATGGCTATACGCACGACGCTAAACTTGGTGGGTCTCGTATGAAACGAATGGTTACAAACAACATCAGTTTCCAATAAAGAAAAAAAGAAAGGTAGCGTAGCCAGCGTAGCTTAGTGGAAAGGTGTTTGCTTGATACGCAGCGGACCCAGGTTCGATCCACAAAAAGTGGTTTCTTTTTTTTTTTTTTTTTTTTTTTTGTCTAACCTTTTTTTTTTTTTTTTGTCGTGCATTTGGCGATATTTGCATTTCTTTTTCACAATTAAAACTAAATAAAGAAAAAGAACTAATGTTGTTGACGACACTTTGTTGAACTAAACGGTATGAGACTCCCTTTCCGGCGGCTTGGGTTAGCGTGGGTTGCCAGCTGGACGACGCGAAGCGGAGTGTACTGTGGGGCCAAGTGACCAGCCGCATACTGTCACTGAGAAGCGGCGTGAACGCAGCGGGGATATTTACCCAGAGAGTAAAATTTAGTGCAATATGGTGACGTTGTGAAATAACAAGTTTTTTCATTAAACATTTCCTCCCAAACTTGACCTTTAGTTAGTACAATCCCCCTCCTCCTCCCCCCTCGCTGGGATGTCCCGTTTTCTACCTTGAGGAATGTGGTCACCCTACTTAAAAAAGCACTGACACATCAAAATCTTTTTTTTTTTTTTTTTGTTTTGTTTTTGTTATCCGAAACGATTGAAAACGATGCCGGGACATTACCCTCAAAATTCGAAACTTGGGAATTCAATATTTGTAAAGTGAAAAAAAAAAAAAAAAAACAATTTCCAAATGCCCAATTTGAAGTTCGCGCGATCCGCGCCAGTGCAGTGACGTCAAATTTTGCGGTCTCCTGCGAGTCGACTTTCTTTCGGACCTCCGCTCCACGCTACGAAGCAAAGCGCCGACCTTTGCTACCGCGATCCGAAGCGAGGAGGAGTTGAGGAGCGAGATAGAAGGGCGCCGGCGCGGGAAAAAAAACGGTTAAAAAAACTCGTGACTGCAGTGCTAGTATCCAAAATAGCCTATGCGGCGAGATTCTACCGGCTCACGAAAAGCCATCTTTCCAGATTTAAAAGCATGCTCAACGGAGCAAGAAAAACCATCCTTGGGCTCCCACGCCACACTTCGGCAGAGGAAGTAAGCAAGTGTATCTTCCTCCCAGAACTCACAGACCTCATGAACCAACAGAAGGAGGCTCAACTCTCCCGTCTACAGCATACAACCGAGGGAAGAAAAATTGCTAAGTACGTGGGAATCGAGATACGAGAAGACGCCCCCATATCACCGAGCAAAGCACCGTGGGAACTCATTGACGTAACTCACGGGTGCAAACCTCTCCCAAGAAACATGGACGCTGCGCGGCAGAAGAAAAGACGAGAACACTACGCTCGCATGCACAAGAAGGAGCTGGCTAAGCTTGTTGGGGACGAAAAAAACATGATCGCCTATGTGGACGCCAGCATCTCCTCTATGGGTTGGGCAACAGCAGCCACATACATCCAAGGGAAAGCGACCTGGACAGAGACCCAAGGTAATCCTCGAGGCCACCACACGCCGGGCTTCGCCGAACGAGAGGCGGTGTTGCAAGCCATCCGAGGGGCAGTACCCCGTCTACAAGACGAACAGCAGCTAATCGTC